GTCGATCGCCATCTCGCAGTTCGGGTTCGTGTGCGCGTGCATCATCTTCACGGCGGAGAATGTCCACTCGTTCATGACGGCGGTGAGCTCCGCGCCGCCCGAGGCGCTGACCACGGGGGCTTTGATCGGGCTGCAGCTGGTGGTGTTGATCCCGATGGCGTTGATCCGGAACATTTCCAAACTGGGGCCCGTGGCGCTGCTGGCGGACGTGTTCATCCTGATGGGACTCAGCTACATCTACTGCTACGACATCGCGAGCCTGGCCTCGCGCGGTGTGGCGTCGACGGTGGAGCTGTTCAACCGGCAGTCGTTCACGCTGACCATCGGGTCGTGCATCTTCACCTTCGAGGGCATCGGGCTGATCCTGCCGATCCAGTCGTCCATGAAACACCCGGAGCACTTCGACCGGCTCCTCTACCTGGTGATGGGGATCATCACCGTCCTCTTCACGGCGGTCGGGGCGCTCTCGTACGCGACCTTCGGCGCGGACACCAAGACGGAGATCATCAGCAACTTCCCGCAGGGCGACCGGTTCGTCAACGCGCTGCAGCTGATCTACTCGCTGGCCATCCTGATCAGCACGCCGATCCAGCTGTTCCCGGCCGTGCGCATCCTGGAGGGCAAGCTGTTCGGGCAGGGTTCGGGCAAGCGGGACCCGATGATCAAGTGGAAGAAGAACGTGTTCCGAACGGTGGCGGTGCTGGGCTGCGGGGTGCTGTCCGCCGTGGGCGCTGGGGACCTGGACAAGTTTGTCTCGCTGATTGGCTCGTTCGCCTGCGTGCCGCTGGTGTACATCTACCCGGCGTATCTGCACTACAAGGGGGTGGCGCAGTCGTCGTGGGTCAAGCGCGGCGACATTGCGATGGTGGTGCTGGGGTTTGGATTCATGATTTATACGACGTCTGCGACGGTGTCAGTCTGGGTGGGGAGTTCTTAACTTGTTTTCTGTGGTGCGTTCGATTGTGCATTCGGTGTGGTGACCAGCATTGGGCATTATGGTGGTTGCATGTATTGCTTTATGCCAGTTGGGGACGACCAGCATGTGTGGACGGGTTGCTGTGATGCATTATGAGTTTATGCCATGTATTTGTGCGAGTGCATGTTGTCCGGGGTTGCATGCTAATGATTCAGGGTGTTTGCGGTTGCACTAATGTGATACAGGATAGAGATGGACGAGGTGGACTGGGCGACTGGTCTGCGGAAATCATCCGATAAACAGGTGGGGTGGTTGTCTTTGCTCATAGTTCAATGCATTGATGTGCGTACGTAGATGTTGATTTGAGACCTGTACACTGTCACTGCAGTATGCGGATGTACTGTCCAGCACCGCTAACCTTAACAACGTAGGTCGACAGCTGCACGATGCAGTCGACCTTACAGCTCCCCCCATCTACACGTCAACCAAATGCCGATCCACAGCTCTTTATTGATAGTATAGTATGGTATAGTATAGATACAAACCACGCCACCGGTCCACCCTCGCCACCTATTCCCCCATCACCACCACGACCTCCCCTCTCCAACCCCTCGTCTACCTAAGGACACCCACTATCCGGATAATTGCAACTATCCCCACTCCCGCCGGTGATACTCACGCCCTCGAACGTAAAGTTCTCACAGCTCCCATCGCCACACAGGATATAGTAATCCTTGCCATCACTCATGGTGCCGGTGACATCGACAAACGTGACATTCTCAATCATGACCCCATTCGTGGGCTCGCCGGTGGGCCCGCCGTTCAAATAATCCTGCTGGACATCAATCCCGTAGTCCGAGATGCCGGAGAGGGTGATATTCTCGTAGCGGATGTTGTAGACCTCGCCGGTCTCGCCGGAGTTGGTCTTGATGCGGCAGCCGTTCTCGGAGTCGACGACCTGCGAGTTGCTGAAGGTGACGCCGTCGACGGTGTTGTCGGACTTGCCGCCGATGGAGCCGATGCTCAGCCCGTGGCCGCCGGCGCAGTAGAGGTTGTCGACGAGGATGTTGGAGCCCGAGGTGATGGCGACGCAGTCGTCCTGGTTGTGCACCCAGCTGTCGGTCAGGGTCAGGTCGGTCGAGGACTTGATGTCGAAGCCGTCGCTGTTGTGGGCGGCCGGGTCGTCGCCGCTCAGGCTGTTGGGGCTGTCGCCCGCCGTGTTGTTCAGGGTGATGCCGGTGAGCGTGAGGCCCTCGCTCGATTCGATGTCGAAGCAGTGCACCGGCCAGTTTTGGATGTACAGGTTGCTGATCGTGCTGTTGTAGATTTTCTTGACGACGATGAAGTGGTCCGGTCTTTGGGGGGTTAGCTTTGCGGTTCAGGAGGGGCTGAGGGGTTACGGGGCAGGCACGCATACTTGTCTTGTCCGCCGTTGGAACCCTCGCCGTCCCAGTAGGCTTGGCCGTTGCCGTCGATGACGTGGCCCTCCGCCCCGGTGATGGTCAGGTCCGTGCCGGAGATCACGATCGGGTCGAAGTCGCTGTCGTAGGTGTCGCCGAAGGTCTGGGGGGGGGGTTAGTCAGGTTGAGAAGAGCACATAGGAGAAAAGGTAGCGTACGGTTTCACCGGCGAAGATCACGGCCGCGCCCGTCTGCAGCCCGGTCAGGTCGATCGTGCTGGACGCCGGGGCGCTGACGCCCGACAGCAGGATGTTGGAGCACGAGGCCACCGCCGACGAGATGGACGCGTACTCGGTCACCGTGCAGGTCGTGCCGCCGTTGCCGACAGCCGAGGTGGCCGCCACGGCGACCTCGGTGGTGACGGGGGCCAGCGTCGTGGACGCCGCTTGGCTGGTCGAGGCCACCTTCGAGGAGGTCTGGAAGGTGGAGGCTGCGGCGGCGGTCGTGGAGGTGGCGACGACGACGGGGGCTGTGGTGCTCTGCTGGGGGGTTAGCGGATGCTGCTGTCACGACATATGGAGATGGATGGCTCGTACCACGCTGGTGGCGGCCGCGGCAGCACCGGTGACAGGGCCCAGACAGCTGCAGGCGCTGGACAGGTGCTTGGTCTTGTAGTCGCAGGCCGACAGGAAGGCGTCCGGCACGCCGGTCGTCTCGCTCACCGCGCTGGCGGTGAAGGTGGCGCAGAAGCTGGCTGCAGCCACGGAGGAAACAGAGTAGATGGAGGCACAAGCGTGGTTTTCAGGGCTATCACAGGCCAGCGCCAGAGGCGCCGCCAGGGCCAAAAGGAGCGCACTGCGCTGCTGCATGGTGAAAGAATAAAAGGAACGACTGAAAGAGTGAAAGTACAAGTTAACAGAAAGAAAGAAAAGAAGGACTGGGTTGGTGATGGCAGCAGAGGAGGTGTCTTCCCTCGCGCATCTTAAGTATCATCGTGAGGAGCATAACAGCCGGCAAATACGGATCGCTTAGCGCTGGTGGTCTTGAAGACCCGGACTGGTGGTTTCAGGATTCTCCGTGCCAAGGGGCGAGATGGGGAAATTTGACAACAAGCGTTAGCCAAGTTGCTGAAGCTATGGTTGGCACTTGGCAGGGGAGGAAGTGAATGGAATGAGGTTGTATGGGTGCATGTGCATAGGTGCATGGTGTATGGTGTATGCACGGGCGCTGATGGAGACGGGGAGTGGGATGAGGACCCAGTCAGAGCACGATTTTCATTGGTACGGTCGCCATTAGCCGAGCTCGAGACGAAGTCCTCGCTGCTGCAAAACCCCTGGTGTGGTTTCATCTTGAGGTTCGCTTGGTGTTTATTAGATTACTCCTTCTGCAGGGGTCATTGAATTGCCCGATGGAGCCAAGATTCCGCCGCGTCATCCTCCAAGAACCGGCCAGGAACAGTCCAGCCCATGAGTCAGTTGACCACCACCAGAATAGCTCCTCCGTATCAGCCATCACAATCACAATCACACTCCTCAGGAACCAGAACACTCAACACCCAAGCTCGAGCCACTGTCCCCACCGGAGTCGAGCTCCTCCTGCAAAACCCTCAACTGGCACTTCTAAGTTCAACGTAATCATTTCGGACTTTAGTGCGAAATGGTCGGCTTTAACAGGGGTACAGTGCGCGCTTTGAACTATTTAGCCGAGGAGCAACCGAATCTGCCCATGGGAACAAACCAGCAACCAAACCCCAGGACATTCCACATCGTAGTGGACGACGGAATATTGGTAGGCTGTAACTTATATGCCGGTTGGGTGATACCAATATATCCGACACTCTGATATACGAACCTGAACGCGAGCGACCCCCCTTGGCAACGGCGCCTGCACATCCCCCCATTCCATCCCCAGATTCATTTCGATTCTTCGGCAGTTGAGTCCCATTGGCCACGAACCCTTCACTGACCCCCGAGGAGATTAAGCATGGCCTGCTGTGTGGCTGTGTTGGCACCAAGTGGGGTCCGACACTTTCATCTCGGATTGTCGGGAATGAATGGTAACTTATGGAACGCGCCCCAGTCGGAGGTCGGAGGGCGGCCAGCTTCGATACCGATGGCAATTATGTAGAGCGCCAACCTACGGACCTGGCCCCTGGTTGTCTGTAAAGTCTGAGTCTGGGTAAATGAACATCCCTTGGACTATGATTACAGCTCACTGTTGTCCTTCCCCCGTTTCTACCACCAGATGATGAGAGAAACATCGAAGAAACTGCCTATCCTCAATTCAACACATTAGGGCTCACAGTGTCAGGTGCGCGCACCTCCGTGACCAGCGTATCACCCGGTGCTCTCAGATAGCTGAGAACGCGAATAGCAAAATCCCTGTTGTTTTGTGCAACTCTCTCGATCATGTGGTTGAGTGATACGATACCTCTCTGTTCGCGGATCGGCAAACTTGCACCATGCCTCTCGCATTCCACCACGGCCTTGAGAAAAATATCAATCGTCCTACAAGAGCCACGCCCGATGAGGCTGATATCGAGGTGGAGATTGAGGGTGGATGGTGAAAGTGCCATGCGATGAGAAGAAACCCAAGTTGCTGTCCGGGAGATGGGCTGGCCACCGAACAAGTCCCATAGGCTTGAGTATTTTCAAGCCGTGGTGACACGGTCTTACTGGTAGGATATCTCAGGGGTCGTATTCCAAGTTGCTTAGCAAGCCAGTTAATAATATGATTATGGTAGGTTGGTTACAGGACTGCAGACACAACGCAAGCGGCACTTGCACAGGTGAGTCAAGGCTGATCGAATACCGACTCGATGACTTTCTCGACCCTATCCACAAGATTCTCCACCTCGGGGGCGGTGATGTTATATGCAGGAGCAATCAGAACAACATCGCCCTGAGACCCGTCAACATTTCCGCTACTGGGCAGTAAGGAAATGCAGTGCTCATCCTGCAACCCCGCCAAATGCACGGTCTGCGCAACCTGATCACCGACGGGGAAGGGTGTCTTTGTCTCCTTGTCCGTCACAAATTCGATCTACGCCTCATTAGCAAGATTCCGCTTTGATGACCCATGATAGAAAAGCAACTCACCCCCCAAAACAGTCCCCGACCGCGGACATCCCCTACATTTGGATGATCTCCAATGCGCTCTGTCAGAAGTCTCCCCAAGTAGTCCCCCTGGACTCTGACATTGTCCAGCAGATTCTGTTCTTGAATCAGGGTCTGCACAGCATACGCAGCAGCACAAGCGACCGGATGGCCCTGATACGTCTGGCTGTGCACAAAACCGCCAGTGCCCTGGGCCAGAGCGTCCACCACCTTCTTGCCCACAAGCAGAGCCCCTATAGGCGCGTACCCGGCTCCGAGACCTTTGGCCACGGTCTGCAGATCCGGAACGACACCCTCCTGCTCCCATGCATGCAGAGTCCCCGAACGCCCCATGCCCGACATGACCTCGTCCATGATCAGCAGGGCACCGTGGCGGTCACATACGGCCTTTATCGCTGGAAAGTAGCCCAGCACAGGAGGGGCGCAACCGAGGGTCTGTTGCATCGGTCAGCACCTTGGTTCCTGGTCTAGTCGAAGCATCACTTACAGCCCCGGTGATCGTCTCCGCGAGAAAAGCGCAAACTGTGTCCGGTCCGACGGCCTGAAACTCGCTTTCCAACTCGTCCGCTAGCCGCTGAACATAGCTCTCGTCACTCTCCCCGGGACTCTTGCCCCGGTACGGATAGCACGGCGACACATGCGAGACATTCTTGGCCAGGATGTCCTCATACACCGCTCTCCGGGCTTTATGGTACCCCGTCGCGAGCGCCCCCAGAGTGTTGCCGTGGTAGGACTGTCTCCGCGCGATAAACCGGGTCCGCTGGGGCTGGCCACGTTCGACATGGTACTGCCGGGCGATTTTGATGGATGCTTCGATGGCTTCCGTACCTGCATTGTCTCACCTTAGCTCAGTTGGCAAAGTATGAAGGGCAAGTCTACCGGAGCTAACGATGAAGGTCTTGGTCATCTCTTCATTCGTGGACTCAGTGAGGAAGGTTGCGATGCGCTCGGCAGCCGGAGTGGTGAAGAAGGGCGAATAGCAGTACGCCACTTCGTCTAGTTGCTGGGTGATGGCGCTCTTGATGATCGGGTTGTTGTGGCCGAGGGCGGCGACGGCTGCACCCCCTGTTGCGTCGAAGATCTCCCGGCCATCTTCGGTGACGAGGTAGTGGCCGCGGCTGGAGATGACTTTGGACGGGGGAGAGTTGATCTTTGTGTAGAGAATTGAGGAGGGGGTAGCAATGGAAGACTGAGAGCGTAGAGAGGTTAATGGATGACGAATTTTGGTGAGGGAACTTCGAGCTTGCACGCTGATCATGATTGCGTGCGGTCTGTACAATTGGTGTGTTGAGCTTTGTATATGTGTGTCCGCGTGGTGTCTATTCTGACTGTAGAGCTGAACGCGGGGCTGTGACAGCAATTGAGGGCCGGACCAGGATCAAGAATAGAAATTAAAGAAGCTCGGGCTTTTGGTGGCCAAGGGGCTCGGTGTTGACAACAAATGGGAGGATAATGTGAGGATGCTGAAACGCCGTTGCACTGCATATCAAGTCCGACGATAAGCCTGCGGGGATGAACTGGTGAACTTGATCTGGAAGGTGCATAGTGACTCAGCTGATACGTGGCCTTGCAGGAAGGAACAACTCGATAGGCGCATTCTGCGTAGGATTGAGGTCTATCACAGCCAAGATTAGTATCCACCGGGTGCAGTTGCGAGGTACTGACTATACGGGACTGTTGTCGTCCATGTATGTATACTAGGTACAGCATGCTCGTTGCCTGTCGACTGGCGTGCTTATCTTATCGTTAATAGCAAACGCAAACACCCAAACCCCGCGTGGACTAACCCAAAATAGAAGCTTGTTGGAGAAGTGACGGTGGATTCAAGATGCCTTCGTCCGCTTCCAACCGCATCAACACTTTTCACTCCCTCTGAGCTGCCTGGCATAGCGTCTATCGTCTTTATCCTCTCCCAGTGGCAGTCGAGAGCAGTGCAGCTTCATACACATCCTTAAATAAAATTGTTGATCACGCCACGCCAAGACCCGACCCCATCATATTGTCCTTTAGCCATCGTGGCTGAGAACAACAGATTGGCAACAAAATATACACACGATCAGCTCAATCCACCACCATCACCATGTCACAAGAGGATTACTTCGATCTTGGGAGCTACCACCGCCCCGTCACCACCACCTCCTCCACCAGCCAAGCATGGTTCAACCGGGGTCTCATCTGGATGTACGCCTTCAACCACGAAGAATCCGCCCGGTGCTTCGAGAGAGCCATTGCCTCCGACGAGACCTGCGCCATGGCCTACTGGGGCCTGGCCTATGCCATCGGCGCCAACTACAACAAGCCCTGGAGCTACTTCGACGAGGTAGAACTAGCCACCGTCGTCCGACGCGGACACGCCGCCGCGAAGACAGCCGAATCCCACGCTCCCCACGTATCCGCCGTCGAAGCCGCACTGATCAAGGCAATCCAATCACGATACCCTGAAGAAATCCCCACCAAGCCATTTTCCGCATGGAACGAGGACTTTGCCCGAGCCATGGAGGCAGTATACCGCGCCTTCCCCGATGATCTCGACGTCATCAGCGCCTACGCGGACGCGCTCATGAACCTGCACCCGTGGGACCTGTGGGACCTGCGAACCGGCGCACCCAGCGAGGGAGCACCCACCCTCCAGATCAAAGCCCTGCTCGACCGCGCCTTAGCCCTGCCCACTGCTCTACAACACCCGGGGCTTCTCCACCTCTACATCCACCTGATGGAGATGTCCCCTGCGCCCGAATCCGCCCTGCCCATCGCCGACCACCTGCGCGGCCTGGTCCCCGACGGCGGACACCTGCACCACATGCCCACGCACCTGGACCTCCTCTGCGGCCACTACACCCGGGCCATCACCTGGAACAGCGCAGCCATCGCCGCCGACGAGCGGTACCACCAACACGTGGGCGCCGTGAACTTCTACACCCTGTACCGCTCGCACAACTACCACTTCCGCATCTACGCCGCCATGTTCGCGGGCCAGTCCGCGATCGCCCTCGCCACGGCGTCCCAACTCGAGACCTCCATCCCCGAATCCCTCCTGCAGATCCAATCCCCGCCAATGGCCGACTGGCTCGAGGCCTTCCTCTCCGTGCGGGTGCACGTGCTCATCCGCTTCGGCAAATGGGCCGACATCCTCGCCCTGGCCCTCCCGCCCAACCCAGCCCTGTACACCATGACCACAGCCATCACGCACTACGCGAAGGGCATCGCCCACGCCGCGAGGGGGGACACCAGTGCCTCCCGCGCGGAGCGCACGCGCTTCCACGCCGCCGTCGCCCGCGTCCAGCCGTCGCGCGCCCTCTTCAACAACAAATGCACCGACATCCTCGCCGTCGCCGCCGCCATGCTCGACGGCGAGCTCGCCTACCGCGAGGGCGACTTCCACGCGGCCTTCTCGGCCCTCCGCACCGCCATCGGTCTCGAGGATAATCTCCCGTACGATGAACCGTGGGGCTGGATGCAGCCGACGCGCCACGCGTACGGGGCGCTGCTGATGGAGCAAGGGCGCCTGGAGGAGGCACTGGCGGTGTACGAGGCGGATCTGGGGATGTCGGAGGCGCTGCCGCGGGCGTTAAGACATCCCGGGAATGTGTGGGCGTTGCATGGGGTGCATGAGTGTTTTGTGCGGTTGGGGAGGGCAGAGGAGGCCAGGCGGGTGGAGGGGAAGGTGCGCGAGGCTGTGGCCGGGGCGGATGTGCCGGTGCGGGCGTCCTGTTTTTGTCGGTTGGAGGTGGGGGTGGAGGAGGGGGGGAAAGAAAAAGTGAAGGAGTGTGCTGGGTGTACATAGTTCGTGGTTGTTTGGTGTTGCGCTGGGATTTTGGATGTGGGTTATACTGTATTTCCTATGCGAGTGGGGGAGGGGAAAGAGGAGGGAGTGCGGGAGGGTGAGGGTGTATACCACGGAGCTATACCAACAGGAAATGCTTTTATTCCATACAACTCACAAGCTGTACAGTTTTGACCAACGTGATAGACACTCCTACCATACCTCAATTTACCTCAGCATCACTATCCATCTCATCCAACAGCATGACACCTGCATCTTCATCGTTCAGCACGCGCAGGTTTACCTTCGTATACCTCCAGCCACGCCACAACCCAACCTGCCGCACCCGCGCAGCTATCCCCATCAAGCCATCAATCTTACAAACCCCCACAGCAAAAAGCCACACTACGCAACCAAGAAGGCACGAAATCAAGTCCCGCCAAGCCAATCAAATTATTATGTCCGTGAATAAAAGCCCAGACCGACCAGCCAACAAAAGCAAGTCGATCGAAGCACACATATAAGACGAGAGCAGATTTTCATCCCCTGAGCCACGTCTCCTGACAAGCTAGTTCGCGTTCGCCTTGCCCAGGGCAGGGATTTACGCCTCCTCCTCGTAGATCTCCTCGCCCTCGCCCTCGTAGTGCTCGACGCCCTCGCCGTCGGAGATGGACGCATCCTGGTACTGCTGGTACTCGGACATCAGGTCGTTCATGTTGCTCTCGGCCTCGGTGAACTCCATCTCGTCCATGCCCTCGCCGGTGTACCAGTGCAAGAAGGCCTTGCGGCGGAACATGGCGGTGAACTGGGTGGCGACGCGGTGGAACAGCTCCTGCACCGAGGTCGAGTTGCCCACGAAGGTGGCCGCCATCTTGAGGTTCTTGGGCGGCACCGAGCACAGCGCCGTCTGCACGTTGTTGGGGATCCACTCCACGAAGTAGGTCGAGTTCTTGTTCTGCACGTTGCGGACCTGGTCCTCGACCTCCTTCATGGAGACCTTGCCGCGGCTGTTGAGGTGAAGAATTAGCATTATTGAGGGGCTGTCGAGGGGTGATGGGGTTGGAAGAGGAAACATACAACAAAGTCGAACAGGTCAGGAAGCGACCGTTCTGGAAGTTGGCGTTGGTCATCATGTTGCGGGGATCGAACATCTGCTGGGTGAGCTCGGGGACGGTCACGGCGCGGAAGGAGTGGGCGCCGCGGCTGGTCAGGGGCGCGAAGCCGACCATGAAGAAGTGCAGGCGCGGGAAGGGGATCATGTTGACGGCCAACTTGCGGAGATCCGAGTTCAGCTGGCCGGGGAAGCGCAGGCTGACGGTGATGCCGGACATGACGGCCGACACGAGGTGGTTGAGGTCGCCGTACGAGGGGGAGGACAGCTTCAGCGTGCGCTGGCAGATGTCGTACAGGGCGTCGTTGTCCAGACAAAAGGTCTCGTCGGCGTGCTCGACCAGCTGGTGCACCGACAGGGTCGCGTTGTAGGGCTCGACCACCGTGTCCGACACCTTGGGCGAGGGCATCACCGAGAAGGTGGCCATCATGCGGTCGGGGAACTCCTCGCGGATCTTGGAGATCAGGAGGGTACCCATGCCGGAACCCGTACCACCTCCCAGGGAGTGGGTGATCTGGAAGCCTTGCAGGCAGTCGCAGTTCTCGGCCTCGCGGCGCACCACGTCCACGACCTGGTCGACCAGCTCCGCACCCTCGGTGTAGTGACCCTTGGCCCAGTTGTTGCCCGCACCGGACTGGCCGAACACGTAGTTGTCGGGGCGGAAGAGGCCGCCCATGGGGCCGGAGCGCAGAGCGTCCATCGTACCGGGCTCCAGATCAACCAGCACCGCGCGGGGCACGTACTTGTTGTTGCCGGCTTCGTTGAAGTAGACGTTCATGCGCTCCAGCTGGAGGTCGGAGGTGCCATTGTATCTAGGATGGATGTCAGAAGGGGAAGGAGTCGAGGGCCAGCTGGGTCACTGACACGCCGTCGCCGTCGAGGCCATGTTCGCCGGAGATGGTCTGCCTGGTGGGGGGTTAGCCATAACGGGGGATGGAGAGGGGATAAAGGCTGGAGCTTACCAGAAGGCAGAACCGATTTGGTTACCCTGTAGAGAGGGAGTTTGTGAGTACTAGGTAGATAGATGACTGGCAGTTCCAGAATGGGTGAAACGTACACACTGGCCGGTTTGGAGGTGAACCTAAATGTGGAGAGGAACTGTTAGTATTTCTTGTTTCATCTCTTTCAAGAGATGAATGAACTTAGTGTAAAAAGGTCGACTCACGATTTCACGCATGATGGATGATGGTGAGGGTATTTGGGGGGGGGGGGGGGGGGGGGGGGGGTGGGGGGGGGGGGTAGGGCTTTGCTTCGGGGGGGGGGGTGGGATAGGGAGATTAGGGAGGAAGTGGGACTGGGGGGAAAACAGAAGGAGATCCGGAGGAGAGAAATGAGGAGAAAAGGTTGAGGCACTGAGTGAGGTTGGCGGTCAGACTGGCTTGGCTGGTACCTAAGGAACCTAACCCCAAGCTAAGCTAAGCTAGATTGTTTTCAGTGGAAATAGGAAATACTCCTAATTCGTTCCGTGTGTGTGATAAGTTGAATGTGGGATCCCCGATAAGGGTATCGCCGTCAGGCCAGAACTTCGGATGTGTTGTCGAAATCATCGAAATCGTCAAAATCACACCACGCTAACCCGCCTAGTGCTTAGCGTCACCGGTGCCGCTCGGCCCGGTCGCTCCTTTACCCCTTAACATTCTGACAGGTAACACTCAGTCTTGCCCATTGGGCGGAACATCCAGTCATACTGAGAGCAGTCCCAATGAAGGCGTGTAACATGTAACCAAAAGGTATCGATTGGGCTCACCCACATACCCAAATTCTAGCATGATCACATGTTGACCACAGATTCCCAAAACCGTCCTTGACTTTCTTCTTCCATCCCCATCTCCTCTACACCCGAACCCCTTACACTATACTCCGTACGTTGTTTACCTTGCAATTTCCTTCTCCAATTGCCAGTCCTAGACCCTTGCGTCAGCCACGCATAAAGGCGGCTAGCTTGTCTTTCAAGCCACTGATTCTTTATATGAAACCATCTCTATCGCTTGCAGTTGAGATGTACGCTTTCTGCGCGAAGAGTTTGTTTCGGAGAGCATCGCTATTCCTAGACAACCATTAGACACTTCGAAGCTCTATAAGGCATCGGAAACTGAAGCCATGAGCGTATAGTCACCCGTGGCCAGCCTCCGAAGCGGGAGAAGGAGAAATAATAAGATCCATAGAAGAAATAGCATACTTCGCCTCCCACTCCTTTCCCCATTCTCGAAAGCAAAACCGTCCACGCTTCTGAAGCTCCCGGAGTGACCTGAGAGCCCCATCATTGTTGTCGTCCTGCTGTTCTATAAAAAGCTGTAATGTGCGCACACAATACAGAGCCTCCTCAACCGTGACTAGTGGCGCTTTCTCTATAGCCATGTGGCTCTGAGTATGCTTCGTATGCTGCCTTTAATGGGGTGTAATGTTGGTTTTTATGATGTTGATGTCGATGTCAAGGTCTTGCTTGGCGTCATCGCGGACGTTGTGGTGGGGGGGAGTCTAATATCAAGATCCGGGCGATGTGGATGAAGAGCGGTTTTCTCTGCAGCAAAATACTTTCCGTGTGCCGAGCATCGGTATATCGAATAACATGTCTCGCTAAATTTCGTTGTTTCGCGAATCACGTCGTCCCAAATTCGTTGTATCGAGACGGTGACTGTAGAGAGCTTTCCGGTAATGTGGCTGGGTGAACCAGGTTGGACGTCAATGTGGTGAGTGAAGCAACCCTTTTAGTGATGGAAATTGGTAGGTGTATAATGGATTGTCTACCATGGAACCATCTACACCAGTTATTAATCAACTCAAGGCGCAAGCGGGGTTGATCCTGCATATATTGAACATTCGAGCCTCTTGTGTCCTATCGAGAATGACGACCAATATATTCAGAACATGGGGATGTGTCCGCGTTATACCCACAACCCCTCGATATTCTATCCTACTACCGACGCTCAGTGGGCTTTACTAGTATCTCCAACTTTGTTCTGCAACCAAGCTCTCAACCCAGCTAGATGAACATAAGACAGGCACAGGAACCCATAGAGCTAGAATGATAAGTCAATCTTCCCCACAGATAAGAATCGAACGACTTCTGTCATTCTTCTCAACCCACAACGTCGTCAGCTAATAGGTAGCAGGCATAACACTCAACCTCCCCCCATCAGTAAGCACACAATTCCCATTACAGTACGCCCCCGCCCTTGAAGCCAAATACAGCAGCGGACCCATGATATCCTCGGGGGTACCAGCGCGCTCGGCCGGGATCTGGTCCAGCGGGAACGCCCCTTCCTCCGTGGGACTCTTGCCATGAATCAAGTCCGTCGTCAGATCGGTCGGAAACACTGGCCGCTATTGTCAGCATACCGTCCCCACCTTACTCCTTTCACATTTGCTTACATCCAGGACACAGCACATTCGCGCGGATTCGATACGGCACGAGGTACGTCGCCAGGACCTTCAGCAGCATCGTGGTCGCGGCCTTGCTGGCTCCGTAGGCGAACCCGGCCGTGATGCGGCGATTGAAGCTCCCGATACTGCTGGTGGCGATCACCTGACTCCGACAGCCCTTGCGGGCGTAGTCGTTCTGGGTCCGGTTCCCGGCATCGAGCAGGCCGAGAAACGCTATGGCAGTATAGAACACGGCCGTGCAGTTCACGTGGAAGGTATCCGTGAACTCTTCCATGGGGATGCGGAGCAGCGCCTCTTGTATTTGCCGAATGCTCGATCCGGGGGGTACGCTCCCCGAGGGCCCGGCGATGCCGGAGTTGGCAACAAGCAGATTGATATATCCGATATCTTTTTCAATGAACGCAACCGCGGATCTGAGGCTATGTTGGTCGGTGACATCGCACTGGATTGGGACGACATTGTCTCGGCCCTGGTAGCAGTGAGAAACGATGCTTGTGTGGGGGGTTGGAGTCTGCAAGACTGACAAGTTCCGCCACCGCTTGGTCCAGGATATGTCTCCTTCGTCCAAGGATGTAGACTTTCTTGGCGCCGTTGGTCGCCAGTGCCCGTGTCATGTATAGGCCGAGCCCTTCAACGTCCGTTAGCTTGGCGTGAATAGCAGGTTCTATCCCTATGGGACGCATACCGCCCCCTCCGCCTGTCACTACTGCGACGATACCCGTTACGTCGAAGAGGTTTGCTACTGAGCCGGTTGCAGCCATAGTGCGAGAATTCCGCTGGAGTCAATGCCGGGAAGCAAGAATTTAGAAGAGTTGAGGTGTTGCAGCGGTCTTGGATCTCGCTATATTGTTATAAGCAGAAGCGTGAATCATCAATCCCTATCTCCTCTACTTTATATTGCAATCTGGGGACTCAGCGGCGAAGGCTTTCGGTATCACATTCCAAGATGGGGACTAGGTATAGACCACTCCGCTCTGCCCCTCCGGAAGCGCTTGCCACTTTCAGCGCCGTCGCTGACCGGGAGTATGCCCGACATATCTCCAAGGAAGCGGTAGATAAATCTCAGTTCATACCGATTCGGACATCTCTCAGTTTCTCCGGCGTTACTTGTCGATATATGTCTTAAACATTTCACCAGCGTGCACGGAGAAATATTTGTTGCTTCTTCGGGACACCGGGGGTACCTGGAGCTTTCGTTTCGGCCTGGGCCGGTTTAGAATTCCATGTTTCGAGCGAAATCCTTCGAACAAGGAACAAGCTACCCTTAGAACTCCTTACAGATCATTACCGAGTAAACCCCCAGTTGGGTTGAGGGTATCCATGTTTTATTCCAAAAGCCATCCAGTGTGCCCGCAAGCGTCCCGCAATCGAAGATTGAACACATTATGACACTCCGAAGTGTGGGCCAAGAACTAACAATCGGTTCTACATAATATACGACTGGAAAACCTATCACCATCCCCCAAAGCCAAAACCCTCCCCAAAACAACATTTAGCCCCCCCTCCCCGCTTCCCAGAGAGTAAGACACAACCTCAAACCCCCGAATCGATCTCATTCACAAACTCCTGACCACTGAAAACCGCCCAATCATGACATGTCTTCGCCAGCGAGGAAGGGATCTTGAGCTGCTGGATCTTTTCCGGGTGCTCCTAGACCATTTCTCCGTCAGTAGCTATCACCACCACCCAGCGAACCCCACCGGCATTCGCAAACAAAACAAGAGACGTACAATGATATTTAACGACAACCCCATGCTAACATGGTACGACATATGACAATGCAGCGGCCACACGCCGGGGTTATCCAGCACCCACTCCAGGACGACGAACGCGGGGTTCTCGGGGGTGCCCGCCTGCATCATCTGCGTGTCCCGGCGCTGCGGATTGGCAGGGTTGACGATGACGCCGTCCCACGTGCCGCGGCCCGCGGCCAGGACCCAGAAGTTGTGGCCGTGCAGATGGAGCGGGTGGTGCATCGGGTAAATGTTACTGAACACCAGGCGGACGCTGGCGTTGGCGCCGGAGTTGTAGGCGTTGGCGTTGGCGTAGTAGGGGTCGGAGAAGTTGCCCGTGCGGCCCAGAAGAAGGAGCGGGGCGTTGTAGTTGGCGCGGAAGGTCGCGTTGTTCATGTAGAAGAGGTAGTGGCCTGTGGCGTTCTGGGCGAGGTTGATCTCGATGGTGTCGGTGGTGGAGGGGGTGCCCGGTGGGGGGAGGGGGTGGTAGGGGACGGTCTGGTGGAGGGGGTCCCCGGCGCAGTTGTTGCTGTGCCACACCGCTGTGCTGGTGGTGTTGGGCCAGGTGGCTGGGTCGGCGTCCTCGTAGTAGATCGCTGCGGTCACGGTGGGGTAGGTGGCGGTTGAGTTGAGGCAGTCCATGTCGATGGAGGCTCGCAGCCAGTAGGCATCGCGGGGGCGGCCGGTGGCCTTGACGAGGACGTCGGTGCGTTGTCCGGCGTCGAGGGTGACGACGTCCGTGTTGTAGGGCTTGACGGGGATGAAGTCGTTCGCGATCACGGTCATCGTATGGCCGTCGATGCTGATCTTCTGGTTGGCGTTGGATCCGGTGTTCAACAACCTGAGACGGTGGACTTTGCCGCTCTGGAAGCTGAAGCGAGAGGGACTGGCGCCGGGGCTGCAGTCCGTGCCGCTGCAGTGGTAGATGCCGCGACCGTTGATCAGGTTGTTGTCCACATTCGGGATCACTGGTGGGCGGGAGAAGATTTCCAACAGGTTCGACCAGTAGTCGTGGTGGTGGTATTCTGAGATCATGATGGGTCCGAGGTCGTAGTCGTAGTTGACGTGGTTGGGGCCGTGGATGATCGCCGGGCCATAGACGCCGTCGGTCAATTGGGCGCTGTAGTGGGAATGATACCAGCCAGTCCCGTATTGATCAGCCTGGAAGGTGTAGGTGAAACTGGACCGAGGCACGATGGGACACTGCGTGACGCCAGGTACCCCGTCCTCCCAAGGGGTTCCTTTCTGCGTGATTCCATGCCAGTGCATGGCCAGACCTTCTTCTGTTCCGGTTGTAATCATGTTATTCACGGTCACGGAGATTGTATCACCCCAATTGGCTTCGATCGTTGGCCCCGGGAATTGGCCGTTGATCAGCATGGCGCTTTTACTGTATCCATCTGGCGCGGTTATGTCGCGCATGACTGTGAAGTTGTAATGCCGCGTTACTCCGGTATCCGGGGGAGGTCCTAAAGGGGAGATGTCTCGCCATGGTGGGAACTGCGTTACCCCCTGAGTTGAATTAGTAAGTGGTGTGTGTTGGGGACGCTGGTGTCAAACTCATCATACCTTGTCCTTGATGAAAGGGGGAAGATACTTGGTAGGTAGGGTACCATATGGATATCGGCCTTGGGGAAAGTTGAAGTGAGCACACGCCAGTCGGAGAGCAAGCGACAGAAAACATTGAAGCGGGACAAATGTCGGATTTGATTCTTACTGTTCTCTTCGCTAGTGTTACAAGCAGCACTGATGGCTGTTGCACCACGAAGGAAAAAGGGTAACCAGGGCACCATGGTAAGTCACACAAAACGTGGTCTCCCGTATCAGGGCTAGCAGTGATGAACCGAAATGGGTAAATATCATACTGTCTCAAACTTCCTGAAGAACGTACACGCGACTATTTATTCTCCGATATAAAGATATTTCCTCAGAAGAAGCCATACCCATCGACGCATTAGTCAAGATTGTCTCGCATTGTCAATGTTTACACCTCTAAGCACAGTTTGTTTGCTGCGATATTGCTTTTCATGAAAGACATTGCTTATTGTCATGGGTTCAGGATTCGAGGGGATGGGCCGCCTGATGATAGACTCGACTAACAAGAACATGGCAATCGGGGACTGTAGAATTGTCGGTTGCTTTTTGGTCGCCGATCAAGCTTCCAATTGAGACAACCGTCTCTAGGAGTGTGATTCGACGCCATTCAAGCCCCATCTAATAAGGCTGCAAGAGTGTTTCGAAGAGAGCTGAAAGTGCACACCCTGGCAAACACAGCATTAGCTCTGGATGCGGCCCGGCTTGCCCAGTCGGAAAATTGATTTGGATGTTCAAATCACCTTGGAGACGAGGGTTTGCTTCAAGGTCTCACGGGTATTCCTATCTGGTTGCCTGTGCAACTTCATCACATGGCCCCCTGTACTGTGCCACCTTGACTCGGCTGGGAATCCCAGGTCATACAACTGCGAGTAATGATGCCTGAGACGTTTCTTCTTCGGCGCCCAATAGCACTGAGAACTTCTATTCTCGATGTTCGACAAGATTAATCTTTCCGATTAAGCATGTTTGCTATGTGATTCGCATATGTGTCGGGAGTCTAGCCAACCCATCTCTATTGACCAAGGCTGGTTGAATGCCCACAGAATGCTGGTCTGGGTGGAAGTTCTAGTCTGGCTCGGAAATCTATAATTCACAATAGAAAGCACGGCACTGAGTCCTGGTCCAGTCCCATCTCCATCAATCACCCCGAGAACTAACTTCCTGATATAGCCAGTCCCTCCAACCCTGATCGCAAAGGATCGATCTTACCCGAGCCTCCAGCCACTCTGTATTTCCCCAGAACCCCCAAGAGGCCTGAAATCTACACCAGTCCACAAGTGCCGTCTCCCAGTGTCGTCGAAATGTCTCCCACGGATACACGTCCGCCTGCTGACCCTGGAGGAGCCGCGCGCGATACCCCTCCAGCAGGCTTCTCTCCCCATCCTGCATCGGCAACTGCTCGGGCAGATAATCCTCGTCCTCGACCAGCATGTCGAGCGGGACCGAGCATGTGAACAACTTGGCGAGATCGCACACCCCGAGGCCCAGCCCGACGTACTGGAAGTCAAAGAACGCGACGCGCTCCCCACTGTCCGACGTGAACAGGTTCTCCGACTTCACGTCCCCATGGATATAGGACTCCATCGGCCTCCCAGAGGGCGTCAACACCAACGCCACCATCTCAGCCACAGACATGGAAAATCCTTCCGGTGCGCTGCACAGCGCCTCGGACCACTCCGAGTCGGTATCATCGACAAGAGAAGCATACTCTTTCCGCCGGGTAGCAAGGTACGTATAGCCACCATTCAGCCACAACCCGCTACCACCTTCTTCACTCCTGCACTGCCGCCGCCTCTTCGCTTCCTCAAGCGGCGGCAGCACCAATTCATCCCTGCTACCCGGCAACAACGCCCACGAGCGACCGTGGAACCCAGCCAGCCAGTCCAGCGCCGCACGCACCTGCCTAGTGCTCAGAGAACTCCTCTTGCCCCCAGCCACCGGATACGCGGGCCGCAGATCCACCATGACAGTGGCCATGAGCCGCCGGAGCTCGTTCTCGCCAGGCTTACCGGCCATGTCGCGGGTCGAGGCCAGACACTGGGCCACGCCGATCTCGTCGCCCAGCCGCGGCACCACCTCGCTGTAGAAGCACTGCTCGACCTCGTAGCTCAGCATCTTGCGCAGGTGGCCCTCATCCTCGGTGCCGGCTTTCTTGCTGGGTGGGGAGATGAGCTTTAGGATGAGCGGGAAGGTGGCCCCTGTGCTTTTCGACTTCACCCCGCAGAGCTGGGCGAGATGGGCGGCGGCCTCGGGGGTGGTGGCGCGGGCGGAGACGGCGCAGATGTGGCCGTACCCTGCCCACAGCGTTTGGAGGGTGGAACACGAGACGAGCTCGAGCGAGTGCCAGGCGAGCATAATGCTGGCGACACGCGAGGGTGAGGGCGTCATTCTGGCAAGCCCGGTTGAATCAGCTGACGACGGCGCTGCAAGATGTATGGATGTTTTTGTTGATATTGCTCTAGTTAGAGTTGGGTAGGAATTGAGAGACGATCGATGCGATCGTGGTGGAGCTGCAGTTGCTAATGCAGCTGCATTGCTTAGGTGAGCAGTAGTTTAGCCTACATATAATTGGACAAGGCTCGGATTATGCAGCACAACCTGTGTCAGCGGTGCTGTTTGCTTGGTCTGTTTAGCTCACAGGTACCGGAAGCGCTAATCCCTGTCTGGACTAGCCCCACTTACTCGGACGTCTATCATGGTAACATCACAAAGCTAGGTAAGTTACTATTTTAGCATATCTCTGCAAAGACGATTGTCCACTTATATATCAGCTTCTAGACAAAGGTTCTAAGTTGCGGCACATGTATGCTGTGAGAGTCTGGGTTATCCTAACAATAGCATTTGAACATGTTTTACTCTCAGTCAGTCAATCATTTTGAAGATAAAAAACGGCTAGATACCAGCTTTGTTTCCACGTCCTAGGGCGGCTTCTACCAACGTAGGTACCCAAAACTAAGGCCCTGAATCAGAATCATGGCTCAGATCCAATGGATTGCCAGATCTGGCGGCAAGACAGAGCCAATATCACCGCCAGGAATTCGAATGTTCAGAACTCCCTCTTCATCCTTCTTCTCATTATTGTGCTCAGGTTCAAGCTTCCCATCCTTTGTGTCACGAGCAAAAGATGTTGTCATTTGCAGCAAAGTAACACATCTGTGCAAGCTTGATCTTTGAGAATCTCCCATTGCTCCAGGTCATCTCGCATGTCCAGGACTCGAATTTCTTCAAACCTCCCAGCGTTGTGACATGCGAGCAGGAAATTGAGAATCTGTCTGGTCCACAGCCGCTGGTGCATCTGTTCTTGGAGTATCTTGCTGTCGAACTTCCCCACCAAAGCGGGTGACGAGCCTTCTTGCTCACGAAAAGGACTTCTCACGCATTTCTAAGTAGTACAATCGGCTGCACTAGTGATGTGATCGTCGGATATAAAAGCTACCGTATAGAGTATAACGAACCGGTGAGCTAGCATGTTAGCTTAGGAGAAACTGTCTGTCCGACATGCTGATGATGAAAAGAGGCGAAATTCCGTGAAGAGACGCTGCTGTTCTTTCGAGTCTATGTCTAACCTACGCCAGGAATGGTCTAAGCCCTTTCTCAAGTAAGGCACCGGCCGCCCTGGATTTCGAAATGTGACAAGCAATCCCATCCCCACATCTCGTCACAAAGTTTCTGTCGGCTGCCTGATTCACCAAACATACCTATATATATAAGCATGCTCATTTCGACTGGGACTCGCAATTAATTCACTTCGGTCTTCGATCTGGGCACACTGTATGTTCTTCGATTTCATCTAAAGTTCTTGCTGTTATTCTTGCCCATCCGTTTAAACCTGACGTAACAGCACCTATGTCGGTATGGTCTCAAGATAACCATCTTCCTTGCGGATACTGAGGTCTATCATAGCGCACTCTATCCTTCGATCTCTCAAGCGTAACAGTCACAGAACTTGTTACAGTTCCAAATGTGGCTCCCAAATGCTATCTTTGCCGGCGTCCGTCAGGCGAAGAGACCACTCGGCAATCGAACCGCAACGGTAACGCAGGACGTCTATACTGGAAATGCCACCTCTGTGGCAAGTTTCTTGGCTTTGTTGATAATCGAGGCAATGATCCAGCAAACCCACCATGCCTCTGTAGGACTCCCAGCAAGCGGCAGGTAGCTGGATGGCAGCGAAGAACATCACGTGGTCTTCACTTCGTTTGTCGACAGGGACGTTGTGGTTTCTATGAACCGTGCCGATATTCTGATGGTACTTATCTGACCGTCAAGTCCGATGAGCTTCTTGACCTATTGATTGGACTTTGTATTGTCTAGTAACTGATGTTATACTTCATCTTGAGGGTTGCAAGGCTGTCCGAGGTTCAGTACCTGAAACGACAGATGTTCCGAACTTTGATCTGCATGCAAACTTATATTTGTATTTCGAGTTGGAGCGTGGATCTTGAAATATGGTAAACCTACTCTGTACTTCAGACGACACGTCTCTGATAATTCGGCGTAACAAGTGATGAATCAGAAACTCAATCTTTGGATTATATTGTTCTCTCTGTTATTGATTTGTTTTCAGGATGTCCGACACGTGTTCTTCGCAGGCTTGACCAAAAGCGGGGTACGGCCTTGGACTTCCAAGGGCAGACTTGTGGCTCTTCCGCTTTAATCCTTCTAATAGACACATGAACGCATTTCAAATAGGTTACACAAAACGGGATTTCGCTTGGAGCGTTATCACGAACATCCTAGATCTTTCTAGCCATGCATGGGAATGCCCTCACTCAGACATCCGGCCACGCTAAGCCCAAAGCATTTACTGCTCTTTGCAATGCCTCTTGGTCCCAGTTTGTCTCCAGGAAGACAGCACCGATAATAGCTTCGACCGTTGCCGCCATCAGCTTGTCGGCGATATAGTTACCCTGCGAGGGGTTTTTGACGATGTACTGATCAAAGCCCAGCTCAAAACCCCGCTGGGCAAGGTTCGTATTACCAGCGATTCGGGAGACGACTTGATTGATTCGTTCTGCATTATACGCAAATTTAGTGAAACTGACTCAAACATTATTCGAGGAGAATTACTTGCATACCACGGCTTGCGTTCCTAGCACGGCCTTGCGTTTGTAGGAAAAGTTGAAGGGCTGAATCTCCAATAAGAGCTAGGTCCTTGTTACCATCTCTGTTGACGGCGCCGGCAGCCATAAATGCTTCGTGAATCAGTAATGGCTTATCAAATGTAACGCCTAACTGTTTCTGGATATAAACAACAAGTTCGCTGCCATGGTTGGCCATGTTGCTAGGATTTGGAATGGAGATCACGGTAAACTCGCGAATGCGATTCTTTGCATCAGCAGATGAAAATATATAGCACATCAACTCAATCCCCGAAAGACATCTCAAGTGCATCATCATGCTTGTTTTTAGCGTCTGTCCCTCTGAGCGGGGTATGTGGCTTCTGTAGGTCATGTGAATTTAACAACCAGACCATTCCTATTTTGGTGGTTAAAGCAACAAACCTGCTTAACTTCCTAACCTGGCAGTACTTTGAATACGATCCCACGGCAGACCGCACTAAATTCCTAACGCGCATTTTAGGATGCTTAGCCTGGCTTATCTCCCTCCCCATTACACGAGCATGTCTTACCTAGCGTTAAAGGTTAAACATTTGCTGGGAACGACAGGAATTATTCTGTGCTTGGAATGATACTAATCCCTGTTCTGAAAAGTAGCTCTCTCGTCGACGAATAGTTTGGACGGACCCCAAGAGAGCTAACTTTGCAGCAGAGAAAACCAATAACCCAATGACAAATCCAGCGACTACAGCTGTCAGACGACCTATTTAGGACGTTTCTGTCCAGATGAGGTACATCGCGAACCTGAGCTGCACGACGTGAAGAGCCATGCATACGTGCTATGTGCAACCTCCTGCGGATTCGGTGTTTAAAAGGCCAGGGGTCGGTTCCTCCTCGATGCGAAGCAGTGAGCATGGCATTTTTGTCGCACTAACCCACATCTGGGAGACTTACTTTGCATAACGGCCAGAATTTCATCAAGGCTACTGGATTGTCTTCAGCCTAAAAATGGGGGAGGATCGACCGCAACGACTGCTAAGTAAATAACTCAGTCAAACCAAAAATCCGGAAGATAGCAATATCTGTGCCTTTCCTTTTTTTCCTGATTCGGTTCCTTCATTTCAAGCGAGTTTTCCTCTGTTTTGCGAATGAGCTTTGTGAATAGTAGACAACACTCATGCATGCCATGCTCCTTGCTTTCGTCTTAGCGTCAACTCGAAGAGGCCCATCTAGACTGAGGAGGCTAGATAAGACAAATTTAATGCCAAAGATCCCTGAGTACTGGTGGCCGAATTTGACTATATATACAAGTGGCCAGTTTCCTTCTATAAGATCCTTAATATTCATTTTCTACTTGATTCATTGATTCCGAAAAGATTCATCAATTCCTTACATTCTGCGAATATGGTCCTCAGAGAGTTTAATTCCAGAGCTCTGGATAGTCTATGTACTGAGGAGCAACTTGATCTCTTGAACTCGATTGACACCCTTCGATCCCAGGGCATTAGCCATTTCGTGTCTCTACCGCAGATCATCGTGTGTGGCGACCAGTCATCAGGGAAGAGCTCTGTGCTGGAGGCTATTTCAGGAGTATCCTTTCCTGTCAAAAGCAATCTCTGTACACGATTCCCGACAGAACTTGTGCTCCGCCAGGACGCCAGCGTCGGAGTCAGAGTGTCGATCGTACCTCATCACTCGCGCAGCGAATCCGAGCAACGATCACTGGGTAGCTTTTGCGAGGAGCTTGATGGCTTCGATGGGCTTCCTGAACTGATCGATAATGCCAAAGCTGCGATGGGTATATCCACCCATGGCAAAGCATTCTCGAACGATCTATTACGGGTTGAGGTGTCAGGGCCTGACAGGCCGCACCTGACCATCGTCGATCTTCCAGGACTCATTCACTCTGAGACTAAACAACAATCTGCTGCTGATGTTCAGTTGGTCCAAGATGTGGTTCAGTCCTACATGAAAGAGCCACGAAGCATTATATTAGCAGTAATCTCGGCGAAGAATGACTACGCCAACCAGATCGTGCTCCGGCTGGCAAGGGAAGCTGATAAATCGGGCAATCGAACCCTAGGGGTCATCACAAAGCCCGATACTTTGGTCGCAACTTCAGAGAGCGAACGGATGTTCATATCACTAGCGAGAAATCGGGACGTGGAATTCCGGCTGGGTTGGCATACGCTCCGGAATATGGACAGTGACCAGGGAACTGGGACCCTCGCCGAACGCGATCAAAAGGAGCGGGAATTCTTTTCCAGGGGAGCCTGGGCGGAGATGCCAGCATCGTTGGTTGGAATATCCTCGCTGCGAACCCGCCTCAGCAAATTACTATTGCGACAGATTGCGGCCGAGCTTCCAAGTCTTATCGAGGAGATTGAAGCAACGGAGGACGAATGCACGCTGCAATTGAGGAAGCTCGGTGAGCCGCGGGCCACTCTTGATGAGCAAAAAGTCTACCTGATAAACATCAGCCAATCTTTTCAATCCCTGATCAAGGCTGCTGTGGACGGCACCTACAACGAGACGTTCTTCGAAGATAATCAATCCACGACGGGACGCCACAAGCGGCTTCGCGCTGTGATCCAGAATTTGAACGAGGCCTTTGCGGATCGTCTCAATAGACGAGGAAACTACCGCAAAATCACAGATAATGACAGCCAGTTGGAGCCCTTCACTCAAACGCAGGTCTCAGTTACTCGAAGCGGCTTCATCGATCACATTCAGGAGCTTATGAGGCAGACACGAGGACGGGAGCTACCCGGCACGTTTAATCCTATGATTGTCGGGGAATTATTCCTGGAACAATGTCGTCCTTGGGAGGTTATAACACACGAGCATATTCTCACCACCTGGCGTGCAGCTCAAAGATTTTTGTCGCTCCTAGTAGGTCATATCTCGGATGAAGGGACTTCGATTGTTCTTTTTGCTGAAGTCATCTCACCTGCACTGGACCAACTGCGGGAGATCTTGATCAAAAGATGTGAAGAGCTTCTCGAAACTCATCAAAAAAGCCATCCTATCACCTACAACCACTATTTCACGGAAACACTGCAGAAGATCCGTGCTAGTAGACAGCAGAACGAAATGACCGGCCTCATCGAGCGGTACTTCGGAGTTGACGATCTACAGACGCTACGCAGCCTCGATGGAGTATACTGCCTACAGGATCTTCTTGACTCACTTCTCCAGTGCCGTGAGCCAGATATGATGAGACTAGCTTCAACTGAAGCTTTGGATTGCATGCTTGCTTATTACAAGGTACGGCAAAGTACTTTTTATCCCTGTTTTGCTCATCTGATCAATCTTTATTTTCCTCAGGTGGCATTGAAACGATTTATCGACGACGTCGCGGTGGAAGTAGTAGAGGTCAAGCTGATTCAGTCCCTGGCTTCCATCTTCACACCCGTCAAGGTATTTGAAATGAAGCATACATTGGTGTCGCGCATCGCCGGCGAATCTGAGGAAACTCGTACACTTCGGGAGCAATTGAACCGAAACAAACAAATCCTCAGAAATGGCTTGGAAACATGTCGAAGATTTGTTGGTAATCGTGGCATAGACCCTGAGAAGGTCAAAGATACGCAGCCTTTTGAGGAGCAGTCTTGGGACAGTCGTGATGCTTCGTTGCGGCTTCAGTCTGCGGATCTTGATGGCTCCGATGCTCGTGCAAGCCCGGAGAATGAAGATTCTGAGGTCCAACGCGAAGGAGACCAAAGCCTCGGCAAACCGCCTGCGATGCTCACTTCTGACCCCGAGGGTGAATATCTGAAGGAGGAGGAGTATGACCAGTTTCCAGGAGCTCCTTCGGATATGGACTACGAACAGGCGTCACCTGAGGCTTCCACGCAGGGGTATGACCGCTATGGGCAAGGCAAGTCAAAGAAGAAAAGCAAGGGTTACAAGGGCAGGCATTGAGAATTGTTTCATTTTCTTGCTAATGTGTTCGAGTGGTCGGTCCTATAGTCTGGTATCCAGCCGCAACGTTTCATCTGGCGCCTTAGTTCTACGTTCAATATTATCCTTTGCTCCTTTTGTGGCAGAATAAGTATTCTCGAGGCGCGTAGGCGGAGTAGGCGGGGGTCTGGACCGGGCCGCGCCCGTGACAGCGAGTCGCCGAGGCAATGTCCTTTTTTCAACCCCTTCTCGTGGCGTCTTACTGGCGGAAAGGATCATACCCGTATTTGCCATTCATCCCCGTATTGTGCCAAGTGGATGTAGTAATCGATTATACTTGGCTGCGCCTGCTTTCCCTCTACAGGTTCTGTTACCATCAAATACATCACGCTTTCCTGGAAGTTATGAGTGAGTTTGGAGACAATATTGATCTTGAAACTTGAATTCAACGTGACTCTCTGTCCACTTGAATGGCATGACAAAAGAACGTAGGTGCTCGCAATGTGCTTATGCCGGACGGTTTAGGTGGTCATTATTGGCTTCGGGCTGCCGCCACTTTTGTATATCATGAAGAATATCTTCTCCCCTGACCGGCAGTGAACCGTCTCCTGAACTGGTGTCAGTCGTAAGCCCTTCGCGCAGAAGTCATTCATGTATGCTATGCAAAATACTAAGGTTTCCTACTCCGAGTGGGGTTGGGTTAAACAGACATTGGGGAATCAGGCGACAACGCTTTGGCGCTTAACACCAAACTTTCCAACGGGTCAATACGGACCACTCACACCCCACGCAACCATTTGCCAGGCAGAAAGTAGTTCACGGCAGGATTTAAGAAACCTTGGAGGTCCGCTCAAGGTGACTTAAGTTGTCCATGATCACTTTACACAGTTTCTCGCACTGATAGGGAGCATTATCAATCAGGCATCCAATGCTGTGTGGTTGACCCCTTTTCGAACGATACTTCAGTCTTTTTGTATCACTTCTCAGTGATGAAAAAGGAAAACAAGAGATATTATGCAGTAGTTTCCGGACGGGTTGCGGAAGCTACGATATTCTCCTCTTGGTAATCCGAATTCGGGCAGGATATAAAACCCTCACTGACCTTTGATTCTAGGGCAGATGCACATCCGCATATTACTGGATATGATTCAACCTTCAAGGGCTTCGCAACTCTATCTGAAGCCCAGAAGTATCTGGAGGCCAAGGGAATAGACAAGCCTAGATTGGTGATTCGCGAGAGCTCTAAAGAGACTCGTACTCGGTTCTCTCGAGGGAAATTTTATGCAGTGGCCCTTGGTCGAAAACCAGGTGTGTATCTCTCCTGGGAGTACGTATTCCATGACCCTGGAAGATCAAGTCAGGTCACTCACAAGCATCAAATCAGGGATGCCGAATCGCAAGTCAATGGGTATCCGCATGCATGTTACAAGTGCTTCACGACACATGCTCAAGCACAAGACTTCATTAGCAACTGGAAGGAATCTGATGCAGATGTTCGTCGGAGAGATGAGGTCACTGAACCAGCAAGCTGCCTCAGGCCGATTGACTTGAAGTCAAGTTTCCATGATCTCCAGCCTCGCCAGAGAGAGGACATCAGCGAATGGATCACCGCCGGGATGAGGAACTTTCACATTGCAGAAAGTAAGGAAGACAAGCTTTAGGAACTGGATTCTGGAGTAGGACAAAAATAAATACAAAGCAATTGCATCAACACATTCGCACATCCGCACTAGAGCCCCGAGAGCCGATTGGCTGTCCCCGCGAGATCAGCAAGCCCACCTTAGTAATTCTGCCAATACCCTTTCGAGACTGAAAGTTGATGGAACCTATGTTCTCGCCCTAACCGACTGTCTCAAAGAGATTTCGAAACTGGACGAGTCAGCATGCAAATTACGAGATGGAAGATTAGTAGTATAGAACGTACAATTCCCGCACCTTATAAGGTTGGTGCCAGTAAAGCAGTGGCACATGCACCTTGACAGATCCCAAAGGCACCATTACAGGCTAAAACGGATGCTGGCGCAGTAGCCCCAAGAGTTGCTCCCCAAGTGAAGCCTGCTGCTGCGTAGCAAGCTGTGACCACAGATGCGCAGCCGGCTTGGCAAATCCCGTATGCTGCCGGGCCAGCCTGAACATGGCATACCAAAAGGCCGGTGCAGATAGCGGGAAGTAACCCCTTCATGGTGTCACTGTCGGAGTAAGGAGCCGAGGAGGGGCAATGACTGTCGAATTGTATGTTGGGAGCTGGCCAGCTCTAAGCTTGCAGTATTGGACTGAGCTCCTCTGATTGTGGTATGAAAAATAAAAACAACTATCAATCTCACTAACAAGAGTATCAAACTTGAGGATAAGAAGGAAAGAAGGAGGCATGAAAGGACCTCGTCTTCGCATTTATGCCAACCCTATACATGCCTCAGGCATTTGCGGCGCAGTCTCATAACCCCGCCCAACAGGCCAGACAGCCTCGTCAGCTTGAAAGTAGCAGCTCGGAGGGGGTGGGATGACTAGATTTTGATAAACGCCAACCGTAAGAATCGCAGGGATGAACTTATGCGGGGCACACAGCTCGAGTGGAGTCGTAGCAAGTGTTGGCACTCTGACCTCCCTCGCGCTAATTTCTGCCCCCTTCCGCGCTAATAGCCTGTTGGATAATTTTATTGGGCAGTAGCCCACGAGTAGACAAAGTAAAATGTAATGATTGGCATACCTTGTCTGAGGCTGTTTTAGCTCAACTCAGTAGGCCAACCTTCTCCTTCGCCCGACAATGAGAGGACTTTTCTTTGTTACGGATAGCATTTCTCCTGAGCCAACAGAAAACAACCTTCCAGGCACCAGCTTAGCCCGTTGTCAGCACCGCGGGTGAGCATTGTACAAACTTTGTATACTCTTGGGAAATAGGCTAGTCGGCCAATAGAAACAGTCATTGGTAACCGCTGGAGGATCCAGCAGGACGCATAATGTTCTCAGACGCTGAAACGGACCGCTAGCGCAGAGATTGTCTCCGCTGATTTGGCTTGTATAACTCGGAAAAGCACGAGGAAGTCATGCTTGAATTCAGCAGTACAGAATCCATCTGGAAGATCATGATAATATGTAGTAAAATTGAGAAGAATAAGTAGCAGTACCGATTGAGAAACTCATCCTCATTCTGAGTACCATGCATCCATACATTGAGAACAGCCTTTGTGTAGAATTTCTCCTCACCCACATACTATATGGCCACCATAATTCCGGACTGCGCCATGTCAATTCCGGTCCCAAATCCTATCGCCAGATTTGTCATTGGGGTAAGCTATTCTTTCAGCGGCACAGTACGCTAAGCCCTCCATCAAGCGTGAGTCGCTGCCTCACTTTGACCTTGAGGTTGCCGTTGCCAAGACGCTCGAAGGAAAGCGTACCATCCTCATCAGCTCGCGTTACTCGGGTGATCGCACTTGGTGAGAATATCATGGCCTCACCAACTCGCAGGCTCACTATCTTGTCAAATAAACCTTGCTGCGTATTGGAAGCCGTAGACGAGTTGTTCGATTCTGCTGTTTGAAACCTCTCGACAACATCTTCTTTAGCTCCGGCTAGGTGTTTATGAAGAATCCGTAGCCATTCCGGCGAGGTAAAATGGTGCACAATGGTCGTTGAACAGAGATTCAAGAGTGCTGTCGAGATTGTCGGTTCCTGTGTGGATATAATCATACGGATGCCGAGATGACGCTGGAGCCGGACTGCCGATAACAGTGTTTCGGTGAAGCCGCGAGCTTCAATAGAGCTGTTCATATACTATATACTATCAGCACAATGCTCAAAGAAGACATCTTCCAGATTGATCGCATACCTTGTGGGCTTCATCGAGAGCAACAACCTTCCCGATGTGAGAATCTTGTTCGAGAAATATGCCCAGGCAAATGTTGAACAGGGAGCACGCTGTGTCTGGCGAGATACATGGGCAGGACAGATCCACAATGGTCAAACGGCGTGGCTGGCTTGAAGGTCAGTCAATGCGGCAAACTGACCGAGTTTGAAGTGAAATTGTCTTCAGTCCACTCATACTGACCTTTGGCTTCCAATTAGTTCCTGCTGAGACCGAATGATTCTTCCCAATATCAGTCTTGGTTTGTGTCCGTGGCATGAAGCTCTCGAGCATGTCCAGCCTTTGCTTCAGTGGCTCGAGCTGAGCAGGGGTCAATGGCGAATCCAGAAGCCTCTTCTTGAAAGCACTATAGCTAAACGCTGTTTTTGCTTTCTGCTGCAAAGTCCGCATCTCCCGAAGTATACGCTTTACCGTGTGCATATACAAGGGTATTTGGCCATCGTCTTGTCCGACCGCCATCAGGTCTAGCATTCGCTTGGTATTGAGATCTCTTTGATCTATCTCTAGAGCAGACACTGTGACATTGAGTCTTGAGTAGGCACCCTTGTCAGAACACTCGAGTCAGCAATAAAACTCCCCTGAAGATTTTTAGCACCATACATACTCTGATAGCATGGAGATTTGTTGGTGCACATAAGACACGCACTTCCACATCGGGATTTGACGATAAGAAGGCAGCTTCACACGGTGATCCCATGAGGTCACTAATGAAGGTGTCGTAGTGGAAGACCAATCCCGTCAAAGGATTTGACAAATATCCAGCTTTGGATGAGATTAGACAGGTCTCTAGCATGCATGAGAGCGTATGACTTTTGCCGGAACCTTGGGACCCGCAAATAAACGTGCTTGATGGAGGAGTGACATTGAATAACAGGCGGGGGTCATCTGCCAGAGCAGGATACCTAGCATCCTGTACGCCTGCCAGGAGACCAAATTGAGGAACAAGCGATGCGATATCCTTCGTGAATCCCCTGAATATACCAGTCATAATGATGGGAGAGATGTTTTGCTCTTTGAGCTCTTGGTGAAAGTCGTTATATCCCAAGAGTTTGTTATGATATTTTTGCATGTCATCACTGAAGATAGAGTGGAACGAACGTTCGGACGGTTCCGGCTTCGGGTTCTGTGAATGTTTGGCCATTGAAGCCATGTTATAGTTGTCTTCTTGGAATAGCTTGGAATTGTAGTGCGTGAGCGTATCATGAATCAAGGTTGCACAAGGAAGGCCGACGGACGTTAAATATACGTCTGAATAGTTAGAATAATCGTCTTCGCTGCCAAGAATCAGGGAGGAATGCATGTCGCAAGGAAGAGCAACACTGAATGATGTGGAGCGGTCAAGGCCACCCTGTACAGCAGACTACATCCTAACAATACATAGCGGGGTATAGAGAAATTCCAAGATCTACAACTTGCCCGACAATAGGATACAAGTCCTAGAGACAGTCATCTGTTTCTACTTCGGGAATGCTGAATGCTATGGAAGCACCTGTTGACCGCCACCTATCTCATTCCCCGCATATTTCTTTTTCAAACAAAATCTGGATGTTTGAACCTTCCCGTGGAAAGAGAATGCTTGGTCTTTTTGTTCTGCTTTTTTAATCGCAACTTTCTTTGCACGATCTTCTTTTTGGATGAATGTTTGATTACGGTTCGGTAATACTTGAAGTGACTCCCTGCGGTATGATGACCTTTCCTTCTTTCCCCGTTTGATGGCTATGACAGACGTGGAGAAGTATCAAATTCAATTGACGTGTCTCAATAACTCAAGGCTTCTTATCTCAAGATAACTTGTGTGTATTAATTGTAATCCTACTCCGGCGACTTGTTTGAAGCCTCGACATTACGGCCTCTCCGATTTGACCGAGCTTGCTTGGTTTTGGCAACCACATGGCCACCACATGGACTCGAACTACAGATAATGTACTTTCCAAGAGAGATTTCACCCCCGATGATGGATACTCACATCTTTATCATATGTCCAGTTCTAACGATAAGAATATCGCTCTGACATGTAACTCATTCACTTCCGAGTAGTGCTGCCGCCCTGGGGTTATCATGACCAACCAGCAGGTAACAATGGTACTGTTTCTGATAGCACGTATATCTCATGTCCAGTCAAAGAGTCGTTCCAGGATTGGCGAGCTTTTTGGAAATCTGAGTAAATCGCTGCTCTCAATAGTCTCCAACCAAAGTCTTCTTCCGCCTGGGTTTCCCGAATGGACTAGCATGTCTTTCAATTTGTCCCATACAGCTTGACTAAGCTTCCTCAGCTCCAGTCTTTGGGTCTCATTCAAGATGCTGATGACGTCCTTGAAAAGAGAGATTGGAAGTCGCGAAATACTAGTGAGATGTTAATATGAAATACCGCGATTTTCTTCCGCTGTACCTACTCCGGAGCCGAAATGGTCACCCCAATCTGGCCGACCTGTTCGCTGGATGGTATCAAGGCTAGTATTCCTGGACCGAAGTTGGAGGTTAAGATGTGATACTTCATGCCTAGAGCCCGAAGCGTTTTAATGGTCTCGAGCCTGTTCTTGTATTGGGGAGAATTTCCATCTAGCAGCGGCTCCACTTCCTGCAGTATTCTCTTGGACACATCTGCGTCCATGCTATGCACAGGATTACCTGGCTTTCTGCTGAGGTTGATCCCATGATAGTCCACAGCTAAGAATCCCGTACAAGATGGTGTAGCGGTTCCACCACTCTTCTTGAAAAGCTCCAAGATGTAGTATCTCTGCAGTACCAGGTGATAAGAGATGGTTTCTGCATTGCTTTCAATCAGTCTCAGAAGGTCTCTCGCTGTCAACGCTTGCAGAGGGAGCCCTAAGCTCTGAATGGTCTTTTCGCGCCAAAACTTGATTGCCTCTCGTAGAGTGATGAGAGATTCTGCGCTTCCAACACACAGAATTAACCTCTGACAGGTTATCAGATTACGAGATTTAGCTTGTCTTCTGAGAGTCGCTTGTATATTTTCGGTATAGTACGTTTCATGTGGTAAAGGCAGTCCGTGGTTCGCGCATCTGCTTTCTTCGCATTCCAAATAAGCCCTAAGACGACTGTCCTCTTTTTGTGGGCGTTTCTTTGTCGGCATATTAGTGTCGGAATCTTGTGGCATATTGCCGTTCTCCCTCTTGCTCGGATGCCCTGAGCTTGCTGACAGGGGAGCTTCTTGAGCTCCATTAGCTGGGAGAACAGCCAAATGCACATCGTCTCGAGCTCCAGTGACAACAGAAACACTGGTGTCTTCTCCATTTTCATTGATAAGAGTGACCGAATAGTCAACGACCTCAATTGTGGCCGCAGTCATTGTAAATGACATGTCGCTAACATTCAGCTCGGATGGAATTTCGGACTGCACTCCTCTCAGAAGTTGAGAATCAACACCATTGTCGTTATCAGTCAGTAATCTTAATGAGAATGTCAGTACAAGCGTGCTCCTGCAGGGGCAGGTTTTTCTTAAGGGCTCACCCCAGCTTATAAATGATATTTAGCGTTCGTTCATAGTTCCAACCATTATCTAAATGCGCAGCACCGATGGCTGCTGCAAGAGCTTTCCCGACAACAACAGGTCGACCTTTCCCTGATCGGGGATTATAGATGATGCATTCGTCGAAGCCCGTATGCTCAGCCACTTTTTGCAGATGAGAGTAGCTGCAGATCCGTTGTTTCAAGCTGGCAGTATTACCTACAGTGCATTAAATGATACTCGATCAACTGAATATCAAGCGTCAGAACTTACTTGGTTTAACCTTCTTCTTATACCCGTCAAAAGCAACGCAAGAACGGATAGTATCGAGTCCAAAATCCGCCAAGTATCGATTCCCTTGGCGTTCCTCTCCCTCAGCACCGGGTGCGGTGAGAGCCTCTATTAAACGAGTCTCATCAATCTGAAATTGATAGCCGAGCATTCCTTCCACCCTGGTCTTCCTGCGAAATAGATCCTCTTCTGACAATCGAAACGAAACTGTCTCCATTCTTATTGACTTGATCGGTGGATCAGATGAATAGACGTGAGTTTTGTTAAGTTGCACCACAGAAAAGACATGTAAGGATTTTAATTGTGATCAAGTAAAGCTAACCTCAGGCTGTTGCTTTGTATCTTCAAACTTGATGGCAGATGATACGTGGATGAGCAAGCATAGATTTATACTCATTAGCCTTCTACCTGGACGAACTGACCTTTGTTCTGCTATAAGAACCTTATCTACTAGACAATATACTACTCAGGTCAGAGCGCGGGCAGTAGACGCATCTGGAATTGTTTTACTTGACTATCTGGTACATAACACGTATGCCTGTCTCTGTCATAACTGGCTGAACCTCAACACGAGAAAGGAATTGAGATGCTACATGTTACCAAGATACAAGATCAACCCAAAGGGCAAAGACCTGCCTCCACTTTTGTCGACTAACACATGCCTTCTATAAGGATTGCGGATCTCTGATAGCACTGGTGCCCATCCGTCGCAAACCACGTTGCTGGTCAGCCTCGCGCCGCTCGAGAGAAAAGAATGAGCCTAGTTCCCTTGGAGTTAAAAGGCATTGAAATTGGCCGCTCACATTTTTCTAGAAGGGATTCGGCTCTCAAAGCCTGATATTTGGGCGAATCACTCGTATTTCGCGGCTCCTGCGGGCTGCCCAAAAATGCAAGGGGCTGCGCCGCACTATCCCTCTTCAGGTGGTTAAGCAGGCACAGTTTCCTAACCTCCTTTTTCGGTGATAGTAGGCAGGGTAAAGCACGCAGTATACAACCCACGCATAAACAGAATGAGTGATGGTAAGCGAATCCTTAATCAAATACATGATTATCGCGCCACCAATGTTATTGGATTCATTGCAATGACCGCGACCATACACCAGGAGCGGAGTCAGGGAGTTTGTCGTCTAGTCTATTCCACTCTCTTTTTCTGGGAAGAGACATATTATAGAACACCGAAATAGAAGACTAGGATGAGATTGAAAGAATCTATGGGTATCTTGTAGAAATGCGAAACTTCAGTCGCCTATGTCAGGTAATACTACATACAGCTGGTGGGATATTTCACCCGCTGCATGTATTCCATGTGAGGAGCGGGGTAGGTGTGATCAGGTTGTCTCTATTGGCGTTTTTGACCCAGCCTTGCGATGCTGACTGCTTGGAGGTGTTCTATATTTATACACCTGCATTCATGTACATTGCCATGTCAAGTGGTCTGTACTGTCCTCATTCTTGATTAAGCGAGTTTCACCTGGCCGTCGGACACACAACCAGTCTTCTTTCTCAAAGCTGGATCTGTAATAGCCAGCCTCTATTCTCTTGAGCAAACATGTGGCATCAGACGAACCCCTAACTTCGATCATGTAGACTGGTTGACCGCAGCCGCCTGACCCTTTTCAGCAATTAATATATGCGTCAGACAGGTGTAAATGCTAAACTTGGTAGCTTCATCCTACCGTACTGTCATAACATCTCCTTAAACGTTCCAGGTCAAGATCTAGCGTGAGGTTGGTGAAAAAGATAGATTCACAGACCTACAACGTTCTCCTCCTTCATATGATTCCTGACCTTAGAAAGGAGATCTGCCACAAAACAGCTGCTCTAGGAGAAATGAGCACCATTCCATTACCAATTGAAAGCGAACTCAGACAGCCTCTGCAACCAGTTGGCGAAATGGAATCACATTGCGAAATTCAGTCCGGGGAAATGCGGTGATCTAACAAAGCGGGCCGGAGAGGTCATATTACCACTATTGCGGAACCAAGAAACGAAGCCAAAAGATGAACAAGACCCTTTGATGGAGGGCCGGAAAAGACGGCTAGGAGGTATCCACACAAGACAAATGTAGTTTAGACTACGATCATTCGCAAGTCTCACCCCGAAAATCTCACTCCGACCTCACTCACGGCCTTCATTCACCCCAAGCGGCAGTGCCATGGTTGGTGGTCGATGCTTATCGTAGGCTTCTTCCCCCTTCTTTAATGCATTTCGGGTACATATTTTTTATCTTGAGATGCAATCCGCCACGCTTGCCCGGCTCTGTTGCTGGTGACTAGGCCCTTTTGGCTCTGGCCGCCAATTTCTCTTGGAGGAATCATTTTCGGTAGCGCGCAACTTGGAAAAAGCCGAACACCAAGACCCTAGTCTCCGAAAGTTGGTGGACAGCCGTCGGACAATGTACACCTCCCGGTTACTCTGCCTTCCAAAGAACATGCTATGGGGACAGCCGGTTATTTGCGATCTGGATCGGTCGGTCTCGCTGAGGAATCATCCAGCCGGAGATTAGGGCACCCGAGGTACGGTTCAATGTGGATTGGGGCTCCAAGGTTGATATTTGGGGTCTTGGTGTCATGGTAAGCGGAGCTCAAATCTGAAGAGCCATGTGGCTTAGTGTCAGGTGCGAGATATCTTCGAAGACAGACATCTGTTCGACGCGCGCGACGAAGACGGAGGCTACTCGCCCTCGCATCATGTGGCTGAGATGGTGGCGTATCTTGGATTGCCGCCTGTATCGTTTGTGCGACGGAGTCTGGAGACGCGCCATGTTTTTACGGATGAGGGCGAGTCTGCCTGACGTATAAGGGGATTGCGCTGACGCTTCTACTGTAGGTAAATGGCTGGGTGCGGGCGGGGTCACTGTCCCTGCAACTTCCCTGCAGGAGGTAGAGGAGAATCTTACAGGAGAGAACCAGCAGATGTTTCTCGAGTTTATGCGGTCGATGCTGCAGTGGATCCCTGAGAAGAGGAAGACAGCCCAGGAGCTGCTGGACGACGCCTGGCTGAATTAGGGTTCTTAGGATGGCGGCCCTGGGATGTATTTCCATTTACATCCATAAATATTAGCTGCAACAAAACAGATCTCCACATTGCTACACCCTCAGACAACAAAGCTCTACCCCAAAGGTAGAATCATGGTTATCAAAATGCATATAACCGCCCCGCGCCCCCCCAAAGCACCCTACCGAAGCCCACCACCACCAACCTCAACCTCCACAACCTCATACGGCACAACCCACCCCACTCCGACCAACCCATACTCCGCCACCGCCGGCAACGCACCCGTCACTCCTGCCCCCTTCCCCCCACTTTTGATATCCCCCCAGTAATCCCTCAACACATTCCCCAACGGACTCGCCACAGCCACCTCCACCGTGTTCCGGCCCGCCCTCACCCACGCCCCGATATCCTTTCTGGCCGCACTCAGATCCACCGGCCCGATCGCGTGGCCGTTCACCCTCACCCGGAACGCATGCGAGACTTTTCCGAGGTCGAGGATCGCGCCGCCCCCGCCTTGCTGCGTGTGGTGGGCCGAGAGGGTGAAGGTCGTGGTGTAGTAGCCTATCCCTGAGACGTTTTGGAGGGCAGGGCTGAGCTGGGACCAGGGGAGGAGGGTGGTGAGGTGTGGGTAGGTGGTGTTTGTGCGGGTCGGGCCGGGGGTGATATTGTAGATGTCCGAGGGTGGGGTCCAGGATTCGAGGGTTAGTGTCCAGTTCGTGAGCCGGATGGGGGGCGTGAGCATGGGGTTGAGGGGGTGGGTTTTGTTGGTGGTTGTGGACAGGGGGAGGGGGAGGGGAAAGGGGGAGGGGTCGTAGGTGCGCTTGAGGGTGAGGGTGGCTTTGTTGTGCTTGGTTGAGATTGTTGCTTCAGGGAGGGTGGTGGTCTGGGTGTCTGGATTGGGGATGGGGATGTGCAGTGGTGATGGCGGGTTGGGTTTCCGGGGATGGTGGAAGCCGATGATGAGGGTTTGGTTGCCTGCTAGGTTGATGGGGATGGTCGTGTGCGTGGAGGTTTGGTTGTAGATGGCTATTGCAGATACAGAGCCCGTCCAGGCGTCGTAGAGGTGCGGGGTGCCGGTCGTCGCGAAGGTGATGGCTCCGGTTGCGGTGCTGTTGACGCGCTGGCCGGCGCCGTCGTTGAAGATGTAGATGTAGGAGCTCTTGGTGGTGGGGTCGTAGCGCCAGGTTGTGTGCACCGTGCTGTTGGTTGCGGTGGATGTCCGCGGCTGGATGTGCAGAGACTCAAGCGTTTGAGCCAGGTTTTGGTCGGATACGAGGTGGACGTTGGGGAGGGAGGTGATGCTTTGAAGGAGATGTAGCGCCTGCGCCTGGCCCGTGGGATCATATCCACTGAAGGTGGAGGGCAAGCCACCTGGGAAGATGATCGGAAGACCTTGTTGCGCATATTTGACCAGCTTGCCTACGCCGGCCACCGTTAGAGTCTCGTTCGCCCGGACGATCAGAGCCTTGAAAGCCTGACGATTCGGCGCTAAGCTGGCGTGGGCGACATATGCCTCCGGAAGATCGAAGTTGTCAGGGCTGAGGTATTCGTACGTGAACCCTACCCCGTTAGCAGGTGCCTAGTCCCCACTGCAGCAAGTCACCTACCTGCTTCCTCGAGATCACTCGCCGCGTACAACGTCGAAATCGACTCATATTCAGTGGTGTTCTTCGCCCAGAATGCAAGATCCACCTTCGGGATGCCGATCTGCGCCACCCACTGGTTCCGCGCCACGTAGTCCACCCAGTCCGAGTAGAATTCGAAGGCAGGCTGCCGCGGCCCGTGCATCTCAGAGAAGAGGTACGCAAAGGTTGTGAAGCCCGGCCACGTCGTGTTGCCGTAGTTGCCGCCCATGGGCCATCCGTGCAGGATAAAGTTGTTGACCGACCCAGCTAACGAGCGCTTCAGCCCCCAAAGAAGCTCATCATTAGTCTCCTGATACACCGATCCCATGATCGCGCCCGCCTCACTAGAAACAATCCGCTTTCCGGCGAGGTGAGCCGGGCCTGCGAATTGCCGGTACCCGTCTAGCAAGTTACTAAATCCCAGGGTTTCGGTCTCCGGGCCGTTGACGGCAGGGATGTTGGCCAGCATGTCCATGGGCATGTTGTAGACAACTTGGGAGGACCACTGGACTCCCAGATTGTTGGACCACTCGGTGAGTGCCCTCAGATACTCGGCATTCAGCTCCGTCAACTGCTGCACATTAGCCCTAATACCTTGATAAGCAGGGATACACGCACAGTCTGCTCATAGTCCTGCGCATGACTTTTCCCCTCGTCCGCCTCATCCGTGACGTAGGTGACATTTGAAGATTGCACGCCCGATCCCACCAGGATAGGGAGATACTTGGCGATACTGTACCCGCGATTCGCCTGGAAGACCTGCGGGAGGCGGGGAGTCCACCAGGTGGCGGCCTTGTATTCCTGGCTATCCTCCCACATGTAGTTCCCTACGTCGCGTAGAAGATCGCACATCTCCGCATCCAGCAGTGACTGCTGCCAGAACGAGGCCATCAGGTGAGCGCCCTCCACCGAGAAATGGTCCACCACCCAAGACCCATTCTCCGACCACGTTTTGACGGGGGATTGCGGCACGGCAGCGGGCACGTCAGCGGGACTCTGGACCTCCCGGTAGTCCGCGTGGACAAGGTAGTACGCAAAGAGGTGACTCTCCGTCGTGGCTGACGACGACAAAGATGGGATGTGAACGTGTCCGCTGCTGCTGACAGAGTCTGTGATGTCGTGCAGAGAGTCCACGGCGAGGACTTTCACGCTGCCACCGGATGACTTGACCGACCCCGTCACCGCGGTGACGAGCTGACCGATACCCCAGCCCGGCAGCGTTCCTTCAAAGCCATCGGTAGTTGAGAAAGTGGCATTGTGAGCGGCCAGATCCCAAAGAAGGCCTTCATCGTGATATGGCGCCGGGACTCCAGCCCCTTGGTTGGGGCCGACAGCGAAGTCGACCACGAGCCCGAGCTCTTTTGCTGTCCGCAGCACCGTGAGGGAGAGGTTCTCTGGACATATCACTAAGTGTCATACGGAAGGCAACTAGGTGACCGAGAACTCACTCCAGGCCGGACTTCCAAACCCGTACTGCGTCCAGTCCGCCTGCAGCGGCGCCTGCAACCCGCCCCCGAAGTTGTCGGAATCACCGTAGTTGTAGTATCCCAGAAGTTCAAGGCCGCCGGCACCGGACTTCGCGATATCCTTCAGGTCTTGTTCGACTGTGCTGGGGCTGACAGAGGCATCGTTGACCCAGTACCGGAAGCGCGGCCGTAAGAGGTTCGACGGGTTTTGGAAGGTCCCGTAGTCGAGGTCAGCCAGGACCTGGTCGTTGGTGCCGCGGGCGACAGTCCCCGGCACAACTAGGGCTGCTACAATGGGCGGAAGCAGAGACAGCATTTTTACTTGAGGACCAGCTGCTCAACATCTTGCGTGAATCTAAGATCCCACCGCGAAGCTGAGACTTTATACTTGCCTGGCCTTGAGGAAAGGTGCAAGCTCGGATAACCCGACAGGATTGTACCTTCGGCATAGTGATCAACCGAGTTAGCTGCAGCCAAGACATAAGTGCATATCACTCATCAAGCAGCTTGCAGCAGCTACAGGCACTGCAAAAACCAAAAAAAGAACCAGCCTGGTCGTCGGTTCGTGTCGACCGCTTTCTTGTGATACGATCTAACACCTTCCCCAACATAACCCGCCCACTGTAGCCTTTGGATTCCGCCTCATTCGAGCGAGTCAAGATGGGCCAGAAAGATGTGCTGAGGTGTACCTGACGACCCTCCCAAGAAAATAGCAGGGTCACCAGAGATTGGTGAGGTTCGTGCGGGGCCCCGCAATCCTGCAGTGCCGAGGTGGGAATTCCGGGGTCGGCTGTTCGTCCTCCACATCGGCACATTGGACCACTCAAGTACCAGCATTTAGACAGAAGAATGCGGGGGATCTGACCATTTTGACATCTGGTACCTCGATGACCAGGGCCTCGCGTCTTGTTCTCCCGAGAGGACCACTCCCAACAGAGGTTGGTTGCACTTAGACCGTGTCGTGCAGGATCGGACGAGGCCAATTTCCGAGGAATCCCCTCTCGCATTGTCTAAAGTCATCATGATAGCTGAAAGCCGCAGGGAACGAGACTGGGGTTTTGAGGTAATTGCACTATTCCCAGCACTCTTGCTCCACTGGCCTACCTTTCTTTCCATCAGTAAACCGATATATCCCCATCTGCACGACCACCAACACAAACCCCACCGCCACCAGCACAATCATAATCACCAACCCCCTCGGATAACTAGATCTCACATTAGCGCAATCCCACTCCTTGTTTCTCACGATAACCTACAAATCATCCGCCTCACCCGCCCGGAAGATCTGGCTGCCCGCCATCAGCCCCGCGGTCGCAGACATAACAACTAGGAAACACAATCAGTATCCAGCACTCAGCGCACATACACACACAGCGTCGCAACTTACACAACCTAACATAAAGGTCAGCAAACCATCTCAGACCCCTCTCTTTCCCACCGCCAGAAAGAAAAGAAAACTCACGCAACACTAATACTCCTCTCCCCCGCCGAACCACAATTCACCTGAATCCACGCATTATGCACAGGGTGATACCCGACCGCCAACCCGTTGACCATCGTCCACAGTCCAACATGCCCCCACCGTCCCACATGCGGCTGCACAGCGCGCAGCACCACCAGCGCGATGAGGTAGCTGCCGATGGCGAGGAGGACGGCACACCCCCTCTTCCCGGTGGCGTCGCTCAGCCAGGCGAAGAGAAAGATGACCGGGAGGGTGATGAGGTTGCCGATGGCGGCGAGGGCGTTGGCTGCGATCCGATTGAAGCCCAAGGACATGATGATGCTGGGGGTGTAGGTGGTCAGCGGGCTCCAGGTGGCGAAGACGCAGCCGGTGGCGAGGAAGTGCGGCCATTTGGCGGTGTTGGTTATGGTCTTGTAGACGAGGATCCAGGGGATGCGTTCGTTCGCGGCGGAGGTGGGAGGTTGGTCGGGGGTGGGCTTGTCGAGACTGCTGCTGTTGCTGCTGCCGCTGTCGCGGTTGCTGTTGCGGGTTGTGGGTGAGTTGGATTCCCGGGGACTGGGAGGGCGGTCCGGAAGGCTTATGAAGAGGAGGAGGGCCATGATAATAGACCAGAGACCTTCGACTGCATTTTCTTAGCATTGCTGTGCTTCAAATCCTCGGATGTGGGGGTTGAGCTCGGGAAATGCTGCTCACCCAGAAATATCCACTTCCACCCCGCTAACCCGCCCCGGCCATCTAGCTTCAGCAGCGCGGCGCCCAGAAGCGGCGCAATTGCTGCACCCCCGAACATCCCGAAGAAGAAGATCGCAATGCGCTTCGTCAGTTGTTCTTTCGTGTACCAGGTGGAGAGTGTGTACATCGCGGCCGGGATGTACCCTGCCTCCGCGAGGCCGAGCACGGCCCGCGTGATGAGGAACCCTGTGCGATTACGGATGAAGATTTGGAGGGCGGCGAGGACTCCGAAGATGAAGACCTGGGCACCAATCCAGCGATGGGGGCCAACCTAGTACTGTCAACAGTATAATTTGTGGGATCGGGAGATGGGAACGGCTCACCCGTTGTAGAGCCATGTTGGAAGGAATCTCCAAGAGAATGACGCCCAGAAACAGAAGCTGGTTGCCCAGGTTGATGGTGTTCTGGTCGACGGAGATGGCCGAGGCGAAGCCTCCAGTCAATGCGCTGGCGATGTTGGTCCGGTCGATTTGGTAGGTCGCGAAGCCGGTGGCGAGGAGGGGGAGCACGAGGTAGTCCGCTCTGCTGGTGGTTAGCTGTGTTTGCTGGGGTGGTTGGCCTGCGTACTTCTTCCGGGTCCGCATATCACGGCGAACATGACTGACGCTCTCCCGATCGCTATGCTTCATCTTCGTCTTCGTCTGAAGGAAAAGAAAAACAGAGAGAAAAAAAAAAGTGACGATGGTGAATCTGGTGAGGAATATTTTGGCTCATTTCTTATTAACGTGTACTGTACAGGGACCTTGGGGACAACCTTCGGGGTGATAAGATAAAGCTATCGGCGACTGAGGACCTTATACACAGCTCACCTTCAAGACGACCAAACAAAAATCAACAAGACTGAAATTGCTTGTGTTGCCAGTGTCCCTGCGAGTGACCTCTTATCCACCCGCTCCCCTCATCCACCTACAACCTTGACCACACACGTCGTCTAAGCCCTCACCCCCCCTTCTCTCCCTCTCGCCCTCTCACCACCAAGCACCCAACTTAAACCCTCCTCACCACAAAAACCATCTTGAACGAACTCTCCCGATTATGCCGATTCTGCTTGACGTCCGCCCACTCCTCCGCCCGCACGTCGACCTCCCACTCCGTGCCCGTCTCCGCCATCACCTGCGCCCACATCCGCCGCCATGACGCCAGATCATGCCGGTAGTAGGTATTGCCCAGCTCGCTGTCCGCGCGCTCCCCCGCGTCAAAGTCCCCGACGTGCCGGCCGACGAGCAGCGACCCCTTCTGCGGGCGCAGCAGCGCGATGACCTGCTTGGCCAGCGCCACCTGCGTGGCCCAGTCGAAGAGATGAAAGAACGAGGCGGCGTTGATGATATCGACCTGTCCAGTCAGTCGAGTGAGAAGGGCGCAGGAGGGGTCGAAGATGTCGCTGGGGATGAATTCGGTGGGTAGCGTGGCGCGGTCGGCGAAGAGGTCGTAGCCCAGGGAGATGAACTCGGGGTGCAGGTCGCTTCCGTAGAGGCGGGAGGCCGGGGCGCCTTGGTGGATCTTGGGCAAGTCAGTTGGGGTGGTGGTGGCGCAGGGTTGGGGCGGAATTTACCAGGTAGCGGATGTCTTGGCCCATTGCGCAGCCTAGGTCTAGGTATGTCTCGTCTGAGGTCTTGAGTCGCGAGAGGATCTCTGGGTAGGCCGGGGAGGCGCAGATGGTGATGTCGAGGAAGCGGAAGGATCCGATGCAGGGGTAGGGGAACTGGTGGGTTGGTGAGTTGAGTGCTAGCACATCTGGGTGTTGTGAAGAGGAGGGAAGGGTGGCTTACCACGGCGAAGGCGCGGTCGCGCTGTAGGTCTCTATTTTAGATCATCATACACTTGAGGGTGTCAGGTGCTCACTCACCACCTCCTTGACATGTTTGATGATCTTCTCCTCGGGGATCTTGCTGTACTCGGCCAGCAGAGTCCGGGCGGGCTCCTTGACCTGTGCGAGGTCGGGCTGGTACCAGCTGTACTGCTCGGCGGGTTTGTCCTTTTGCACGTTGGATTCAGCCATGGTGTATGTGTGCTTGGCGCCAAGGGGATTTTTTTAATTTGGGATAATGTTTGGCAGGGGAGATGAAGAAGTTTGGTGGGATGAGTGAGCTGTGGGCTGCGGGCTGAGGCTGACCCCACATCTTATCCCCGAGGCTTATCTGATTGATCCGAATCGGGGAACCAAGGCCGGTGCCCGCCTCTCACAAGGGTATCGCAGCGGCCTTATTTTCAGGGGAATGCTTGTGCAACATTCCCACATATGTTCTCGAATCCTATGATGACTGGGTAAAGCATTTGGCCTGAGGTGGGCAAGCAGGTGTTTGATGTATATATACACAACAGGCACACCTCCACCGTCATGGATTATACTGTACCGTGGGAGCAGCTGGAGTGGCCGGAGATCGGCCAAAGACAGCAGGCATTCCCGTTAACTGTTACAGCTGCTGCATATCAATCATTCATAAGTTCTAGCCGTAAGCAATATATCTAGGTGGGATAGTAGCATATGAACAATATGTGTCAGAGCCTAGCTCAATATTTGTAACACTAGAGTTTTATGTGTTCTGTGTTGTGCCAAGCGAGTCTCTCCGCAACCTCCGAGCAACCCCCGATGATGTCATAATATCACTCGCGGCAAATTACCTCTGCATAGACGAAAAAGCAGGAATCGTTCCATCAGTGCAGTCTTCCCATAGCCTCTTAGGTCAATTTTGAAGACTCGACACCTTCAATATGGCAACCACATACGACGCCGTCGTCGTAGGCGCCGGTCCCGGGGGCATGGCCGCCGTAGCAGCCCTGCTCGACGCGGGAGCTCAAAAAGTCCTCTGGGTCGACCCAGCCTGGCAAGGTGGACGATTGAACAGCCTGTACCGGGAGATTTCATCGTAAGCTCTTCCTCCCTAGGGGTATATCAGACGTGTGTTCATCCTGCTAACGAACATCCAGAAACACGACCGTCGCAATCTACCTGAAAGCCATCAACTCCTCCCAAGCCCTGCGCTCAATCACCGACTCCACCCCGTCCCCCAACGCAGTCACAGCCCTCGAAGCCATGGACCGCAATACCACCTGTCAGCTCAGCGTCGCCGGCGACATGATCTGCATGCTGATCGAGGGGTTGCTCGCGCGCCCGGAGGTCGAGAAACTGACCGCTACAGTCGAGGAAGCGCATCTTGACGTGGGCCTCCCCCTTCCCTGTCTACCCCTTTCATTCTCATTCATTCTATTCCCCAAGCGAGAACCCACAGCAAAGCTAACCACCACCCCCAGAAGAACATCTGGACCTTAACGACCACACCCGCCTCACCCAACCCGATCCAGACCGCCCGCACGATCCTCAGCACCGGCGCGCACCCACGCACCCCCACCACCCACCAAAAATACAACCCCAACCTCCACCAACTAGACCTGGACACCTGCATGCGCCGCTCGCTCCTCCCGTCCCTGCTCCCCGGCAACCAACCCTCCACCATCGCCGTAATCGGCAACTCCCACTCCGGCATCCTCGTCGTGCGCAATCTCTACGAGCTCGCGCAGTCGAGCCCCGCCCACCGCGCCATCACAATCCTCAACTTCCACCGCCGTCCCATCAAATACGCCATCTACACCGACGAGGGAATCATCTTCGACAACACCGGCCTGAAAGGCGCGACGGCGGAATGGGCCCGCGAGGTGTTGGAGCGCTCCCCCGATCCGGGGATCGTGCGGTTCGTCGACAATGGCGAGAATGAGGAGGCCGCGTTCTGGGAGTGGTTGCCGCGGTGTACGCATGTGGTGTGGGCGGTGGGGTATGAGCGCGGCCCGATTCCGAGGATGTATGTGGAGAGGAGCAGGGTGGATGGGAGTCTGGAGTTTGATATGCGGTCGTCGGGGTTTCGGGTCCGGGGGTGGGAAGAGAGTGACGAGGTCAAAGGGCTGTATGGCACGGGGATCGCGTTTCCGGAGGAGGTCGAGGATCCGGAGGGCCATGTGGAGGCGGCGGTGGGCGTGGCCAAGTTTGTGGCGTTTACGCAGAGGGTCAAGGGGCGGTGGATGGGGAGGGGTGGAGATGTGTAGTGGGTGTGTAAGAGAATGCACTTGTGGTCTTGGGATCATAGCTGGTCTAGTTGGGAGGTAGAGGTGGATGGATACTGAGGAGACACGCAGCAGGTAGATGATTCTCAAACACATCAAACTACTAAATAGGGAATGCGGAGTATCATCAGTCAAATAGTGGTTGCCACATTTAGTGACCACTATATGACTACGCCAAGATGACATAATGCATTAGTGAAAGGTGAAAGATAGGAGGCTAGCCAGTCTTTCGCATCGCCAAGAGACGCAATCCAAACCGATCTAGATCTCGAGGTTACCTCTATTTGTGGAATATACCAACATACGCCAAGCATCCCACCCCGATGGCCCAGACTACCGCCCGGCGGGCGTACTCGGTCGCGGATCTGCAACATGTCATAACCTTATTGTTTTGCCATCCGCCCATCGCCAAGACCCGAGCACGGACCACTCGAAACCATAAATCTGCGCAGATCACCTCACTAGGTGGCAGTTCCCATGGCTTAAGAAAGGTGCAGCCCTGGGCTGGCCAGGAGGCTGTGTAGACCGATGATGATGATGATGATGATGATGATGATGATGATGATGCCCGCATCCTACTATCGAATCTAGACCCTCAGTCTCACCTGAAGCTGTTCTTCATAGTATGCTGCCAGATCTATAAAAACCCCTCCAACCCACGCCAAACTGAAACAACCACATCCGAACAGATATCAGCACACAATTCCACAACACATATACACTCCACTCCTACCCCAGCACAAGCCACTTTCTTCTTTGCATCATGAAATCCCCAATCTCCGCCATCGTCCTCCTCCCGCTCGCCCTGAACGCCGCAACCGCCGCCCCGGCGGAAGACAGCAGCAGCAGCCTCACGGCCCGCGGCAGTGGTGGAGGCAAGGACCCCAACCCCTGCCAGGTCCGCGTGTCCTACCCCTACTACAAGTTCCCTTGCGCGTCGAGCCCGGAGAACGGCACGTCCATTCTCGGGGCGACGTTTACTTCGTTCTGTTACTATGAGTATGGCCCCCTCCTTTGACGTCTATTGAGGTTTAGGGTGAGGTGTTTGTGACTGGGATTGCGATTGCTGACGATTGGATTTGGGGTAGGAACGGCGAGGAGTCCGGCAAGTGGTTCAAGACGCCCCGGGGATGGGTTAAGGATGAGGATAAGCCCAGGCGGTGCGGTATGTTCTTCATCTTTTCTGGTTTGGGTTGATGGGGATGATAGAGGGAGGAGAGGTGGATGGGACTGGACTGGACTGGATTGGGTTGGGCTAATGGTTCGTGCTTAGATGGATCGACGGTTGAGTGCGTGATCTAGGGCTTCGATATTGAGCTGAGGCTCTCTGGTCACGCTATGAAGGTCGGGGAGGGCTTTTGGATGGTTTTGAAATATACGACTCAAAGCAATCACTCTTTATACCAGTTGGGGAGGCGCTGGTGATTATCTTGTTGTGTTTTTATTTGGCTGGTGTGGACGGCATAGTGCTTAATTATGTCGTGCTACGAGGAGACACTCTTGGGAGGAAAAGTGAGGCCCTAAGTATTTGCGAGTGGGAATTCTCTTGGAAATTTTCTGTATCTATCTCCACTGGGTCTAATGTCGCTCCTTATCATGAAGGATATGGTGTTATCTTAAGGAAAGAAATGACTTTCAAACATAAGCTCACACTACCACCGCACACATCCACAACACAACCCTCCATTCTCCCCGAAACCACTCTAGATGCAGACATCCAAAAAGACCTAATAAGCATACAACACCCGCTCATCCCCGCCCGGCACCCTCCCCTCGCGAATCGCGCGATTCGTCCGCCGCAGCCACCCCCGCAACCCCCACGCGCTCGCAATCGTGAGCACCCCGAACGCCGCATTCGCCGACATGGCCACCAGGTACCGCGGCCCGTCGCTCTTCGGATACAGATACGCCGTGTAGACATACGACGCATTGGCCACGACATTGACCACGGACCGCGAGGCCGCCTTCTTCTGGGGGGTCTGGCCCAGCGTCGCCGACACCCACCCCAGGATCACCGAGTTGACCGCGTACGCGCCGCTCGCGAACAGAAAGCAGGCCAGATACCGCGCGGCCGTGTTGAGCGTCAGACACGCGATCACGAATCCGATCACCGCGAGCCCCATGCTGCTCGTGATGTGCCAGGTGCGCTCGTTGTAGCGGCCCGAGGCCATCCCGATGATGACACTGCATACGCCGGAGACGAGGTAGGGCGGGCAGGTCAGCACGAGGGTCATCGTGCGGTCGAAGCCCAGGCTGCCGACCACCGTGGGGAAGAAGTTGTTGAAGCTGCATGCGCTGAGGTGCATGTTCTGCATGAACGCCAGGAGGTAGAGGCGGGGGTCGCGGAGGGCATCGCGGAGGGCCGTCCAGGTGCGGCTGGTTTCTGGCCCGGGGGCAGCGTGGGCGACGGTGTCGCGCGTGATGCGGTCGTGGGCGAGCTGGCGCTCGGCTGGGGTGAGCCACCGCGTGGTGAGGGGGTGGTCGGGGAGCATGAGGAGGCCCAGGGCCGCGATTAAGAAGGTGACCACCCCTTCGATGATGAAGAGCCATTGCCAGCCCTTCAGGTTGTGTTTCTGGTCGAGAGTGGCGAAGGTCGCGGCCGCGATGAGTCCCGCTACCGCGGTCGCCACGATGTTCCCCGTGTACAGGATGGAGATGCGCAGGGCGATCTCCTTGCGCGTGTAGAACAGTGACAGCAGGAAGAGTGCCCCGGGGTAGAAGGGGGCCTCCGTCACGCCGAGGAAGAACCGGACCAGGACCAGCGAGACGTAGTTCTTGGTGAGGGCTGTGAGGGCGGAGACGATCGCCCAGCTGGCCATGCAGACGCTCATGAAGAGCGAGGGGCGGATCTTGGGGGAGGACATGAACATGTTCGAGGGGATCTGCATGAGCAGGTAGCTGGCTGTGGTCAGTGGGAGGGTGCTGTGGGCGTGGGATATGCTTCACCTACCCGATGAACAGAATCGAGATGCAGGTGTTGTATTGCGTCCCGACCAGATGGAGGTCTTCCTCGAGATTGTTGAGACGCGCGTTGGCAATGGCATTGCGGTCCAGCTGGATGATTGGTTAGTGAGGACCATACTGGTATTGTAGTCGATCACCAACATAATTCAGAAAATACATCATCCACAGAATGGGCATGATTCGCAGGTCCAGCTTGCGGACGAGACGGATTTCCACTTCATCGGTCTTTGCTGTGGCTCCCGAGTAATTGCCCCCCTTTGCATCGAGAAGCTCAGAGGACTTGATGTCTTCCACGTGCACGTTGCTGGCCTTCTGCGCCTGGAGGGCGAGATTGGTCTTCTCTGAGATTTGCGCGGCCATCGCTATCTTTCCATGAGTGGGTTGGTTCTGATTGAGGAGGTCAAGGAGAGGAGTGCATTGCAGTAGTAGACCTGCAAGGCCTGACTACCGATTTATACCCATGCCTTGCGCATCTCCACCGGTGAAGGAAACACCGTAGACAATCTCAGGGTCGACGAAGAACCCGTCAACATGGGTGTATCCGCCGTCGAATTGTCGCAGCTTTCACCCCAGATTTCCCCCGCAATCCCCGCAGAAACGCGGGGAGGCCCAGAATTCCGGCGGAGACTTAGTCCGGGTATACGCCACGTGCCGGGACATCCTCTGGCATGCAAGGCAATACGAGACGGTGAGCCTTGGCATGGCTTGGATGCTTGACTGGCACGGGGGGTGAAACCCTTCTTGTCGATGCTGGGCCAGTGCTATTCGTGGATTACATTTGCCTGAGCTGGACAACAAGCTGCTACTTCCGATGTGAATATGTGAATATCAGCATGGAATTGGCACAAGGTGATGCTTGAGGCCTTGATTTGTGAGATATATCTTTGTATCCGGGTATTTGTTATAAACCAAAGTTGGAGATGTTATTCTCCGGGTGGCGCAATAACCTATGGTCGAAGAACACCAAAAGCAAAATGAGCTTGAGGGTTGATTGCCAGTCGCGTGACTGGACGTGATACATGTTAACGAGCTTGTGATGCCACTGTGCACTGCGAATTTTTGCCTCATGCTTGCTAGGTTAGTGCTCGTATAATGTGCAGGAATTGCCAGGCCATCTAGCCACAAAATGCTACAAGTAGTACCGGACACACAAGACGAGTGTTTCGGATACCATAGCGGCAGATGCAGCTTGTTTGATGCGGCCAGATTCAGGTGGCAGCCTTGACCTGGCCAGTTGGCCTGGGTGCAGTAGAAGAATGCAGATTAGCATACCACAATTCTCTCATTGTCCTAGGCAGTTTACTCGAGGACTCTAGCAGCTCCTTATATCATACATTGCTTCGCCGAACAACCACCCATTACCGCAAGAATCTCACCAAAAGGCCTGCAATACTACCATTGCCATGCCTATCGCCAGTGGACTAGTATGCGAGAGGCCGGCAGACGCAGAATTCTCGCTGCTGGTAGACGAGGCCGCAGTTTGGTCGGCGATTTCGGTACCCGTAGAGCCTGTAGTCGTAGCTACAGTTCCAGTGCTCGTAGCAGATGACGAAAGCGCGGACGATGAAGACGACGCCTTGGGACACACGTTGTTGTACACGTACTGCTCCGGATCACCGCTGCAAGTAGTCGCAGACCCGGCGTCGTAGGTCCCGTTCGGGTAGATCCAGCAGTTGCCCGCGGCATAGGTCGAGTTGTCCGCATTCTCCGGGTTGAAGACAACGTAGCTGCAGGAATCGGCCTCGGCACATAGACTCAAGCAGTCCGGTGCACCGGTACTGGTCACACAGTCGTCAAAGCAGTCGCTGGGCGCCGGGTACCCGCAGCCCGAGGCGACAGCGGTGGGAGTCGCGGTGGCGGCGCAGGCGCCAGCCGTGGTGGTGGTTGCGCTCCCGCCCGAACACACGGGTTCGTCGTAGACGGACAGGTAGGGGCTGCTGCAATCGGAACTGCCTTCGCTCGCGTTGTAGGATTGCCCTGGGTACAGCCAGCACGTGCCGGTTCCGGTGGTAGGGTTGCCAGCGGCGAAGATCACAAAGCTGCACGGAGGGTGGGCGTTGCAGTAATCCCAGCAGTTGGCCGTGCTCTCGCTGGCGACGGCAAAGTCGTCGCCGGGTTCCGGGTAGCTGCAGAGAGTCGTGATGAGGGAAGCTGTACAGCTTGCGGCGGCAGTGGAGGAGGTGGACGTAGAGGTAGTGGAGGTAGCAGTGGCCGCTAGAGCCCGTGGTACCATTAGGGCGGTTGCGACCCAGAGATGAATGGCTTTCATTTTTTACTGGTGGTAAGCGTAATCTGCAGGTAGGGTTGAGAAGTGGGTGTGTTCAAAAGTAGGAGGAACCGTTAGTATTTAACATTAAATAGGAGGGTTGACTAGCTCTTACTAGCTAGGTAGGTAGAAAGGGGTAAGAAGCTGTGTTAACCAACCATCACACAGACTAGCAGGAACAAGCCCTGGGCGTAGTAGATGAACGGTGGAGAAATCTTACATGCTACTGGGCACTTGAAGCCTCAAAGGACGACGTCGGTTCTATTGCAACAACTGATTGGAGGGATGGAAAGAAGCAGGGCCGACTCGGCCAAAGTGGGGTCGGGGATCGGGGCTCAGTGATGCCTCCGATCAGGCCAAGGGCTCCCTAATATGTGATAGCGTTGCGCTAAGCAGGGCCGGTGTTGAATAGCCCCCTGCGTCAAGCTTGGAGGATACGGAATGCCCAATGATGTTTGAGAATCTGTATTTATCTGTGGGGGCTGTTCTGGGTGCCCTTCCGCTGTGCGTCCTGGGTCTGTTCACGTGCCATTTGTGAACATAAATGAGCCTGAGTGTACATACGAGTCCAGCTGTGAATCACTAACTAGGAGTTGTGGTGGGAGCCCGGATACTCACTGAGTTTAGATATTTAGAGCTATAAATGTGCTTCCTGGTAATAGCGGCAACTTTAGTGGATCTTGTTTCTATCTTTTCTTTTTTTCTTCAAGGGTTGACAGTTTTCAATGGAAGCTAGTGTTAGGCTACCAAACATCGCGACCTTTTTCAACAGCAGACGTAAATTAATATAAAGTTTAGAGATAACACCTCCCTTCACTAACTTCTCAGGCAGCCTGATTTTTACAGTAAGAACTGCTTGGGATGAGACCGAGTTATTTTTCCGATCACATAGATTGTTTTGGGACTCAACCACAGGATCATTACATCATCAGCCGGATCAAGTGTTTGTCCTGAAACTTGCTATACTGAAACTTTGGCATTCTCTTCCATACAGGGTGTTTTCCCCCCTCTTATATGAGCCATATTACTGCATCGTAGAATGCTGTGCAACAACAGATCGCCCGAGAGTCTGCGC